TGCCTACCAATATCCAATAACGAGACCATTATTGTCAGTATTTCAAGTGATCTGTAAGAAATTCAAAGAGGAAATGACTTAACTTACGCTCACGTGAAGTATGTAATCCCTGAACTGCGACAACGAGCTCACAAACTGAATGTATACACCAATTTAGTTGTTTTACTAGAGCAAAAGAAGAAGACGGTAGATCTAGCGGCGCAGCTATTCTTTTATAGAAATGCACACCCTCCTCTCAATTATATGGAGTAATGAACAAAATCTTAAGGAGCAGCTTCCAAAGTGTCACGTACTGATATTTCTTGCAAGTGCCACATGTCTTTTTGAGTTTTCCTTAAAAAGCATAAAATGATACATCCCGACTAAACGAATCAAAATCTGTGTATAGAGAAACATCATCAACACACCATGTTTTTTTGATAATAAGGATGTGCGTGTAAAAGAATCTTAGTTTTTAATTAAAAGTATTAGCGGGAGAAATAAACTCGCTGATTCGTCTGAAGAACGTAACAATGTAGGCTCGACATTTTCTTTATCGGACGTTTTATACGAAGAAGAATGAATAGTTAGATCATGTATAGATAAAGATAAGTTGACCATATCGGAAAGTGAGTTGCGAGAGTAAATGTCAGATATGCAAGTGACCGCCCTAGGACGAAAATCACGAACATGAAAATCATTTGTTTCGAAAGAGAAACACCTTGGCGGGTGATCAACGGATAGACGTGATCCTATGGTCGTTATATTTGCTACCGCCTAAGTACGGTTCATCGACGATCGTATAGAAGCAAAGGCGGTACACACTCAAGCATCATCTATGTGTAAATTGATGTCCGCTGATCATTCACACAATACTAAAAAGCATTCGTTGTGAAACGAAATTCCATTCAGTTTGAATATGTTGTTACACGTACGGAAACGTCTTATTGAGAGAGCTAATAATCAATGACTTAAGACAATCCATACAATTGGAATTGATAAGATCACTCCAAGAGATGTTAGAACAGTTAAAACTGTTTAGTGAATGCAAACTTAGAGTACGGTACAACAAACATAATGATAATTACAATGTTAGTTTCATGGAATAAGCATCATTATCATTTGAAATATCTTCGCGAAAACTTATTTTGGGTTAATTCTTTAGGAACTCACCCATGAAATATTGAAGTTGTTTTAGTTAACATGAATCGATTATTTTCGAGATAGATACGCGTATCGAAAACCTCAGCACCCTCGCTAAGATTCAAAATCAAGTTATGTCGCATTACGCTATATCATCGTTCCTGGTATACTCATTGCAACATTTATTTCAAAATACCATGTTTTCCCTACATCTATATTGTTTATATGATGACTATAATTGATTATATCACACTTCTATTAATGTACATATCGTAGTATTCTCTTTTATGATGTTTTTTTCACCTTCCTGTTAAAAGTCCAGTTATATTATGACTGTATCAAACTTGACAGAAAATATGACAAATCTATCGTAGATTCGACATACATGCAACATTTTTCTCTCTTCAAACTTCTCAAAAATAATACCTCGATAAATATTCACTTTCTCATTGCCTCTCATTTGATTGTTTGTTCAATGTCTGCTGGTAAGGAGAAAAGTCATGATTTGAAATTATTGTAAAGATTATGAGCGAGACACGCTAAGTAGTTTATGATAATATTATCAATAACCTTGCACTTTTGCATTTCGCATGCCGTCAACATTGGGCACAAGTGTTTTTTTCTTCTTCAACATGCAAACCGCTTGAATTTCTATACGTCAACGTCGTCGTCCGATCGGAATGTTGTCAGTCAGTTCTCTTTCTTCTTTTTCTCTTTCGGTTCTTACCTTTTCAACATGGTTAAAGAAAAAAAAGACAAAACTGCCTTGAAAATGTGGCAAAAACAGGAGAAAAAAAGGCCACAATTGAATACTCTCAAAGGTAAGTGGTAATAGAATTTAATAAAAACGAACGCTGTGAGGTTTTTTCATCTATTCATAAAATATACCTATGTTATAGTTGACCTCACAATTGTATTTTAGATCAAATCGATTTGTTTTTGAATTTGTATGGTTCAAAATCAAACACCAAAGTCTGGCAAAGATATCGAAAGGAAGGCGATCGATTCTTTTGGTATTCTTGGTTCGTTCTACGATGCCCGTCGTGATCAAATAGTAAAACATCATCAAATCAACTCTCGAATTCAATCGTCGGAATTTTTCTCGTCGTCACCTTTTTGTACGATTGAAAAAGGTCCGATTGACGAACATGTCAATCTTCTTCGGCTGATCGGCATTCAGAATGAGTTGAGACTTAATCTTTTACTCGATATAACCAAACGCGTTGGAATTGCAGCAGTTCTGAATTATTCGCGGCGAATCGATGAATTCACTCGATTCTTTTATTACTCAAAAATTACTCGACAAGAACGTGGACAATTGGTAGAAGAATCAGAGAATTCGCAAGCAACAGATGCTACTCATCTCATATCCACAATCGATTTTGGTATTGATTTCATTGCAGTTCTACAATTGCCATCGGAGAAGAAAGTTTCTAAAAACATCGACGAAATTCTAAATAAAATTCGTCACATCTTACTGACTGATCATGACAATCCATTGGTCTTAACGAACGACGAAGAACATCTTCTGGAAAAATTAGTTCACATAACAACTTATTCGAATATATCATCATTGATGGCGATTTCCAATCTTTCCGATCTTCTCTGTTGTCTCGCACGAATGAAAACTATGGTAAATCATTGTCATCCATTGACATATTACCTACAATCTCGAGCAAGTCATATTACATTTCCAATCCTATCGAATGAACTTAGCGAACAAATTGAACGATACATTTTACAATTTCGAACACCAATCAAGTATCTAGAAGCATCACTAAATCAACACATGCCCGAATACTTATATGGACATTTGCAAGATCGAATTTATCAAGCTCGACAGCATTGTTTGCTACTGAAAGATGATTACATTCAAGCAACGAAACGAATTCGTCAGTTGCTTTTGACATCAAATGGTACTCAACTCGATATTCAACAATTCGATTTTGGTGAAAAGAATGTGACACTGAAAACCAGCATTGAACAATTAATGAAAGAAATCGCCAATATTGAAGATATTGTCCGATATGATACGAATATAGAATCACCGTCCGATCATGAAACGACCACCGAAACAGATTCGTTGAGTGAAATGTCGAATAATTTAGTTACAACAGATTCAGCTGTGGAAATCTCAAGTTCATCATCATCATTGTCGAGCGAAACAAATCCAATACCACAGAAACCAGTCGTACCCAGGTCAAATGAAGTTTACAATGTTTTGCTTTTAGGTGAAACTGGAGTTGGAAAATCTCTATTTGTCAATGCGTTTATGAATTATCTAACCTATGATCGATTCGATCAAGCTGAATCGGATAAAACTGCTGTACTCATTCCCGTTTCGTTTCAAATGACTGTTGGTGAAAATGCTGAGGAAAAAACAATCGAATTCGGTGATTCAGATAATGAAAATTTTCGTCAACACGGTCAGTCGGTTACACAACATTGTAAAACTTATGTATTTCATTTGGACGACGGAAGCAAATTATGTCTGATTGACACCCCAGCGATTAATCAAGACAATCATAATTTAGAAGAAATTTTTCAATACATTCAACATTATACGCACATCAATGCTATTTGTTTTCTCCTTAAACCAAATCTCTCCCGATTGAATCCGTTCGTCCGTTCATGTTTGACTCAATTATTCGATTATCTCGGTGTAAATATTTCTCAACGTTTAACCTTTTGTTTCACCAACACTCGTCCCACCTTCTTCACACCTGGTAACACTGCTCCGTTATTGAATTCATTGTTCGACTCTCTACCATCCGAAAACATTCCATTCAACAGCGAAAATACATTCTGTTTCGATAGCGAAGCATTTCGTTACCTAGTCGCTCGCAATCAAGGTTTATCGTTTCATCCCAAAGAAAAATCCAACTATGAACTCAGTTGGTCAACATCGCTGAACGAATCTCATCGGTTGATTAATTACATTCGTACAAAATTGACTCCGTATTCTTTGACAACTGGCTGGAAATCAATCAAACATGCTCAGTTTCAAATCAATCATCTCATTCGTCCGCTCGTTGAAACAGTGAGAAACACGCTTCGAAATATAACTCTGTGGAATATTGAATCTCCGAATCAATCGATCGAATTACGTCCGATTGTGATTCATCGGCCGATCTATCTCTGTCTTTCATGCCCTCCAAAGATAATCAAAGTGGGAAATTTCGGAATCATTGCTGACGTTCCACACGATATTCGACGAGCATGTTGCACTAGTTGTCAATGTTCACCAAACAAACACATTCCAATTGATTACCTGCTCGATTATAAACTGTTAAATCGCCCGTCGACAAAACAAATTAGTGAATTGAAAGATCAACTGGCGATTCTCCGTGATGCGTGTATCGAATTCGCTTACTTTCTTCGACATGTCGCATGTTGCACAAAACAAAACGAACTCCTAGTTCAATTGATCCGCATGATTGAACAGGAAACATACATCTGTCGTCGGTCCGAAACTAACTATCTCAACGTCCAATTAGTCAAAGAATTAGTTCAATGGAAACAACGTTACGAAGAACGAACAAGCAATATTATCTCCAAAGATGAACACGGAAATCTAAATGTGATTTATCAATGGATCGAGAGTATGCGAGAACTGCCGATGATGAATGAACAATTGAATGCAATTGGAAAAAGTCAAGAAATTCTTATGAAACAACACGAAATACAACCCATGCAAATCTAATTACATCTCTTGTGTTTACAATATATAGAAAATGAAAGTTTTACTAATAAAACCCTTTTTTTTCATTGTGACAAAAGAAATCTAAGTCATCATGACTGCGATAACATAGACGTTTCGTTATCTAAGCACGTCATGCACATTCATTCATTTTTTTACTCTGAAGGTTTCACTAACAATGCTGTCCTGGATTCAAATAGTGCTTCTATTTTTCTATTTCGCTTCTACGAACTGTCTTCAGTGTACCAAGTGTGATACTATTATTCTATCATTCGATCGTCCAGCGGATTTCCCATCGAAATGCGAAGGACAAATGATGGAAAGTGTTGCTTGTCAAGCAGTATTTCATATAGATTATCTAGCGAAGGAAATCCGGTTGGATTTAGCAAATGGCGATGCTCTGAATCGAACATTTGAAATCAATCTTTTAGTTAAAAATAAATTCGCTCAACCGAAAATGTTATTTTCGAATTTCACCTACAAATGTAAAGACGCAAATGATTGTGCGAAGGAATTTTATCAAACAACAATATCAACGTTGATCAGTAAACAATCAGTTTTAAACGAATTACAGAATGAATTATATGATCCGACTATCATCAACGTTCAACAATGTGTAGATAATCATAATCAACCGAAGTCGTGTATCAATGCTTACGGATGCCATGGATATGAAATTATCGAGAATAGGAGACCTGATTTTAAAGGTGAATGTAGAAATACAAGCTCGCAGACTATATTTCAATATCTATATTATGATATTACACTTGTACAAGGTAGTTTGGAACTTCCCTTGGATTGGAATCATCTTGGTTACAGTTGTAATAAGGGAAATTTATGTAATACGCAAGAAAAAATCAAACAGATGATTCAAATAGCAAATGGTTATTATCCATGGGAATTTATCGACGTAAATTCCGGTGTCAACTCTTTCATACCAAAATATTATTTTCTTCTTCTTTTCTTTCTTTATTTGATTTAATAAACAACTTCTAATAACCTGTAGTTTTTTGTATTTTTGTTGATCGCGACACAATAAATGAAATTAACCGCTTGTTTATCTACAATATCAAACTATTGCTTACAAAATCTTCAGTATTTTAAGCACATCTGACTTCCCCTATATCCCTATTTTCTACACATACAGTGTGAATTTTGAGTAATATCACTAGAAATGGTTTTACATGAGCACCGCACGTGGGAATTAATAAAGAAAAGCATATTATAGTTGCCGATGCTACAGTTACTCGATATTTCTTTCAAAATTTGTCTGACCAATCAAACGAATCTCCTATTGCTTCGCTTGAATAGACTGATTTTTTTCTGTGAGGTAAGGGTCAAAGGATCCGTTATCTTTATTTTTCATTCGATTCACAATATCAACACGTAGAGTGGCCAGAATTAGTTGAACGATCGTTTCAAGAAGCGTCTCAAGCCATACTTGGTTCCGATAGTAGTAAGACTCGCAACTTAATGCTTATACTTTATTCTGATGATTGATTTTGTCTCACACTATAAAGCTCTTCGTCCTTACAATGCTTGATTCAAAGCGCATCACATGCGTTACTGATCAAAATGATATTGTTGTCGAAGTACCACATCAATATAGCGACACTTTAACCAAGCGAATTTTATTTAATAAAATCAGTTATTCTATTTAATCAATAAAAAATATCGTTTCGAAGGAAAGGAGTAGATTATGTTTATGATGTTTCTTTGATAAATTGAGCGATCAAGTCGGCAGCGACATCATTGCCCGGTTCTGTCAATGGAAGATGGTGAACACCTCTCTCAACAACTAAAAACTTCCACAGATTAGGCAGTTTCGGTACCCATCTATTGACTTCGTCTGTTGTGATAATTCGATCTTCGGACCCATGAAGAACCATGGTTGGCATTGTAATTTTGTCCAGTTGATCATCAATTGCATCACGATCGAGAAGACAATTCAATGCTGGATCATAACCTTCAGCACCAGCATATCGTTGAATCCACATTTCTTTGAGTTTTTCAAATACCTTTTCGTTAATGCGTGTAGGTCCTCCAAATGATCCTGCTCTCATTGTTATTGCCTCATCGGATGGAATTTTTGTTTCACACCACTTGGCACGAGCTTTGCCTGCATTGATTCTAGCTTGTTCCGGCGTAGCATAGGCCGTAGCTGCCAACAGAATCAATCCTTTGACCCTTTGAGGTTCGAGTAGAGCCATTCGAAGAGCAATGGAAGCGCCTTGGGTAGTTCCCATCGCATAAAATCGATCTACACCAAGTTTGGTAAGAAGTTGTAAGGAATCCGAAGCAGTATCCCAAAAGGTGAATTTGTCTCCACGACCTGTTGTTTCTCCATGGCCATGCGCATCGATTGATATCAAGTTATAGTTTGCATATCGACTATCCTTAAATTGTTGATCGTAAAATCGAGAACTCATTAAGAAAGCATGATGCATAACGATGGTTTCCAACGATTTATCGATCGGATGTGAAAGACGGTAAGCAATATTAACACCATTATCCAATGGCATATGAAGTAATTCCTTGTATGTCATATTACTGTTCGTTAGGAAGGTCGCAAAATAAATAGAATGAGGAGTGCGCTTTGTGTTTTACTTAATAAATATATGCAAGGCAATACGTATGCGATAAGCCTAGACGAATAGAACGAGAAGAACAAGATCAGAAAAACAAGTCGACAAGACGAGCGCAAAGGCACGTGGTGTTTTGTTTTTCTCTCTCCCTCCTTTGAATATAAGTAAAAAGCAAAATAATACATACAAAAGAAAGAAAAATTTGATTCATAATAGATTTTTTATCGGTGATTATCGTAGAAAATCGTCAAGTGTGCCTCTATTGATAATGTATTTCTAATTCGTGTTGAAATAGATAGGATATGTAATTTCTTCTCTATGGTGCAATGACATTCTTATAAAAACTAGCAGAATTTAATTTATACCGGTGTCATCGATACCGTTATAAAATGGCTTCTTCTGATAAAAAATACACTTCAACATTACCGAAACTGTATCAGTATCCGAATTGGGAATTGCCAGCACAAAGTGTTATCAAAACTCATTCATTGCTAGCATTATCTGGTTGTGAAGAAATTCTACAGGAGAAACAATCAAGTATTCCAGAATCAGTTGGTCTAGCTCGTCCAGATGCTTGCTGTGTTTTACTGAATGAAAGTTTTTATGATTTATTGATTAAAGAGCATTATCGATTGAATGAATGTCANCTTCGCTTGATCGGCATTCAGAATGAGTTGAGACTTAATCTTTTACTCGATATAACCAAACGTGTTGGAATTGCAGCAGTTTTGAATTATTCGCGGCGAATCGATGAATTCACTCGATTCTTTTATTACTCAAAAATTACTCGACAAGAACGTGGACAATTGGTAGAAGAATCAGAGAATTCGCAAGCAACAGATGCTACTCATCTCATATCCACAATCGAGTTTGGTATTGATTTCATTGCAGTTCTACAATTGCCATCGGAGAAGAAAGTTTCTAAAAAAATCGATGAAATTCTAAATAAAATTCGTCACACCTTAATGACTGATCATGACAATCCATTGGTCTTAATGAACGACGAAGAACATCTTCTGGAAAAATTAGTTCACATAACAACTTATTCGAATATATCATCATTGATGGCAATTTCCAATCTTTCCGATATTCTCTGTTGTCTCACGCGAATGAAAACTATGGTAAATCATTGTCATCCATTGACATATTACCTACAATCTCGAGCAAGTCATATTACATTTCCAATCCTATCGAATGAACTTAGCGAACAAATTGAACGATATATTTTACAATTTCGAACACCAATCAAGTATCTAGAAGCATCACTAAATCAACACATGCCCGAATACTTATACGGACATTTGCAAGATCGAATTTATCAAGCTCGACAGCATTGTTTGCTACTTAAAGATGATTACATTCAAGCAACGAAACGAATTCGTCAGTTGCTTTTGACATCAAATGGTACTCAACTCGATATTCAACAATTCGATTTTGGTGAACAGAATGTGACACTGAAAACCAGCATTGAACAATTAATGAAAGAAATTGCTAATATTGAAGCTCTTGTCCAATATGATACAAATATAGAATCACCGTCCGATCATGAAACGATCACCGAAACAGATTCGTTGAGTGAAATGTCGAATAATTTAGTTACAACAGATTCAGCTGTGGAAATCTCAAGTTCATCATCATCATTGTCGAGCGAAACAAATCCAATACCACAGAAACCAGTCGTACCCAGGTCAAATGAAGTTTACAATGTTTTGCTTTTAGGTGAAACTGGAGTTGGAAAATCTCTATTTGTCAATGCGTTTATGAATTATCTAACCTATGATCGATTCGATCAAGCTGAATCGGATAAAACTGCTGTACTCATTCCCGTTTCGTTTCAAATGACTGTTGGTGAAAATGCTGAGGAAAAAACAATCGAATTCGGTGATTCAGATAATGAAAATTTTCGTCAACGCGATCAGTCGGTTACACAACATTGTAAAACTTATGTGTTTCATTTGGACGACGGAAGCAAATTGTGTCTGATCGACACTCCAGCGATCAATCAAGACAATCATAATTTAGAAGAAATTTTTCAATACATTCAACACTATACGCACATCAATGCTATTTGTTTTCTCCTTAAACCAAACCTCTCCCAATTGAATCCGTTCGTCCGTTCATGTTTGACTCAACTATTCGATTATCTCGGCGCAAATATTTCTCGGTGTTTAACCTTTTGCTTTACCAACACTCGTTCAACCTTCTTCACACCTGGTAACACTGCTCCGTTATTGAATTCATTGTTCGATTCTCTGCCATTCGAAAACATTCCATTCAGCAGCGAAAATACATTCTGTTTCGATAGCGAAGCATTTCGTTATTTAGTTGCACGCAATCAAGGTTTATCGTTTCATCCCAAAGAAAAATCCAACTATGAACTCAGTTGGTCAACATCCCTGAACGAATCTCATCGATTGGTTAATTACATTCGTACAAAACTGACTCCGTATTCTTTGACAACTGGCTGGAAATCAATCAAACATGCTCAGTTTCAAATCAATCATCTCATCCGTCCGCTTGTTGAAACAGTGAGGAACACGCTTCGAAATATAACTCTGTGGAATATCGAATCTCCGAATCAATCGATCGAATTACGTCCGATTGTGATTCATCGGCCGATCTATCTCTGTCTTTCATGTCCTCCAAAGATAATCAAAGTAGGAAATTTCGGAATCATTGCTGACGTTCCACACGATATTCGACGAGCATGTTGCACTAGTTGTCAATGTTCACCAAACAAACACATTCCAATTGATTACCTGCTCGATTATAAACTGCTAAATCGCCCGTCGACAAAACAAATTAGTGAATTGAAAGATCAACTGGCGATTCTCCGTGATGCGTGTATCGAATTCGCTTACTTTCTTCGACATGTTGCATGTTGCACAAAACAAAACGAACTCCTAGTTCAATTGATCCGCATGATCGAACAGGAAACATACATCTGTCGTCGATCCGAAACAAACTATCTCAATGTTCAATTAGTCAAAGAACTAGTTCAATGGAAACAACGTTACGAAGAACGAACAAGCAATATTATCTCCAAAGATGAACACGGAAATCTAAATGTGATTTATCAATGGATCGAGAGCATGCGAGAGCTGCCGATGATGAATGAACAACTGAATGCAATTGGAAAAAGTCAAGAAATTCTTATGAAACAACACGAAATACAACCCATGCAAATCTAATTACATCTCTTGTATTCACAATATATCGAAAATGAAAGTTTTACTAATAAAACCTTTTTTTTTCATTGTGACAAAAGAAATCTAAGTCATCATGAGTGCGATAACATAGGAGTTTCGTTATCTAAGCATGTCATGCACATTCATTCAGTTTTTTACTCTCAAGACTTCACTAACAATGCTGTCCTGGATTCAAATAGCGCTTCTATTTTTCTATTTCGCTTCTGCGAACTGTCTTCAGTGTACCAAGTGCGATAATACTGTTCTATCATTCGATCGTGCAACGGATTTCCCATCGAAATGCGAAGGACAAATAGTGGAAAGTGTTGCCTGTCAAGCAGTTTTTCATATAGATTATCTAGCGAAGGAAATCCGGTTGGATTTAGCAAATGGCGATGCTCTGAATAGAACATTTGAAATTAATCTTTTAGTTAAAAACAAATTCGCTCAACCGAAAATGTTATTTTCGAATGTAACCTACAAATGTAAAGACGCAAATGATTGTGCGAAGGTGTTTTATCGAACAACAATATCAACGTTGATTAGCAAACAATCGGTTTTAACCGAATTACAGAATGAATTGTATGACCCGACCGGCACCAACGTTCAACAATGTGCAGATAATCATAATCAACCGAAGTCGTGTATCAATGCTTACGGATGCCATGGATATGAAATTATCGAGAATAGGAGACCTGATTTTAAAGGTGAATGTAGAAATACAAGCTCGCAGACTATATTTCAATATCTATATTATGATATAACACTTGTACAAGGCAGTTCGGAACTTCCCTTGGACTGGAATCATCTTGGTTACACTTGCAATAAGGGAAATTTATGTAATACGCAAGAAAAAATCAAACAGATGATTCAAATAGCAAATAATTATTATCCATGGGAATTCATCGACGTAAATTCCGGTGTGAACTCTTTCATACCAAAATATTATTTTCTTCTTGTTTTCTTTCTTTATTTGATTTAATAAACTACTTCTAATAATTAACCTGTAGTTTTTTGTTTGTTTGTTGATCGCGACACAATAAACGAAATTAACCGCTTGTTTATCTACAATATCGAACTATTGCTTACAAAATCTTCAGTATTTTAAGTACATCTGACTTTCCCCTATATCCTTATTTTCTACACATAGTTTGCATGTTTTATAATCATCTATTAAAATATTCTCACCTCACAAAAAAGTGTCATTTTTTCAATACTTTTTGGCATATAGTAACACGAATTATTCTCACTTTTTTCTCTCATAAATAAAATAGGAGATGTTTCAAAATATCACCACAATTAACTTTTAATAGACCTGAACTACATTACTCAGTCACCCACACCCACCCTCAAAGCTAAAGTTCTAATTCACATCTACAATAAATTCAATAACATGGCTTTCTACGACATTGGGAGTGATTCTTGTGTAATGACTGCTATTTCTAAGCAGACATTTTCGTTCTACTCTTCTAAAAACCAAAAGTTACAAGTTAAAAATATTGCTATTAATAAATTTAATTAGGTCATTTTGATCCAATTCTGCGTCGGACATTTGTTGCATTAAACACGAAAATAGATTCCATTTGATAGCCAAATTTTGATCTTTGAAATTTGAAGGTATGTTTTTGTAAAAATATTCATTGACATTATGATAGACTTTCTTTCTTGGATCAACTTTGACTTCAACTACATCAACAAAATTTTTCGGCGTCCTTGTTATCTCGGAATAAGAACCTTTTGCGTCTTGTCTTGCAGTTCGACCAAGCATTTGTATGTAAACATTTTCTCTTTCAGGATAATATGTTAGTAGTAAATGTAAACCCTTTTTGATATTTTTATGCACTTTTATATCAGCACCACGAGCAATGATTCGAGTTGCTAACGTGATTGAACCGAGTCTACCAATTCTATGGATATTTTCATGAATATCCGTTTCTTCCATGATTTTGATAATCGTTGAGTTTGTAAGGTATGTTTGTTTCGCTTCGATTAGTTTTTCATAGATGCATTGATAATCCGATTTTTCTTGAAAGGATTTCTTGAATGAATCGGCGAATATGAGAATTGGCTGTTCCGAATGGCGACGTTTGATTTCTTCTTGAATTGCATTTAAATAGTCATGTGTGTCTTTCACCACAATACCTGGTTGGTTTTCAAATGTTCGATTATTTCGAAGGTTTGACAAGCCGAAAAATGGTGGAATTTCATAATAAAGACAACTTTTATTATCAAATAAAGTTTTTAATTGATCCATTCCGTTTAATGTTATACTTCCTGAGAATCCGATAATGTGTTTAAATTTGCAATAAAACACCAAAGGATGCAAATAAAAATGAACAAAATTAGCTGTGGATCCTTGCAACAATCCTTTCAAAAACGAACTACTGAATGTATGCTCGTTCCCCAGTGCATCTTGAAACATTCTACTGTCATTTTTCGCATCTTCTTCCTGTTTTTCACATAAGAGTTTTTCGCACCAACGGTCAATAAGAGTTTCAAATTTCTGTTCCACTTCTTTTGAAAATACTCCATGAAATAATTTTCGAACATCATCTTTATGATCAAGACGCATTGTTTCATTATAATTTTCTAATTTAAAACGATATACTACTTGAAATATATGATCATAATCGAGAACTAAACTATCAAATTCATCCATAATTAATATAGCATCATTAAGATCGGGCAAATTGATTGGCTCTGATTTTATCAACGCATTAAATCCATATTTTCTTAAGACATTGAAATAAGTGTTTAAATCAGCATAGATAACATCTGCATCAGAAAAATCTTTTATAGAACTGTCATTCGAACAATAAATGGATTGAATATCAAGATATGTGTAATATCTTTGAAAATTTTCAAAGTCCATTTTAGCTAGACGATCTGAGCATGTGATAACAAATATCTTTTGCTTTGGTCCAGTAGATTTACGACTCATTTGAACAATTTTTCGAACTGTTTCGGCAATTATTAACGATTTTCCTTGACCCGTGCCGATTTTCATAAAGAGATTCGCTTTGCTTGTCGATGAATCTTCCGCCAGATAATCATAGATTAACGCTAATGCACCAACTTGATTATGTTGTAAATAATTAATATTCAAATGTTTCAATGCATCACTATTCTCTTCAAAATCATTTTCGACTGATTTTCTATGATCTTGAATTCTTACATAACTTTCATCGGTTATATTTCGATTGATTTCTCTAAACCACGTATCAAACTGATCTTTTGAATATTGATGATAACAATATAAGAAATATAATTTGTCACCTAATTTACTGGTATTTGCTGTCCAATCGTAGAAATTATAATCATCTTTTCTTTTTATTATTCTATCAAACATATTGAATACTTCAGTATTTGATTTCGTAGAGTCAATTACTTTAGTCACATGTTCAAATTTGTAATTAATCATATTTTCAATAATTGTTCTTACATATTCATTTCTCTCATGTAAATTTCCATCATTTTTTCTGCCAAAACCATTTAAAATATATCCAATGGACATTCGTTGTAGATCATGACGAATATCTTTATAGTCGCTTTGATTATAAAACTCGATTAATTGATTAACTGATTGAAATAATTTCATAAATTCGTTGTTGAATTCATTTGTACTTCTCAAGAATTCTTCTTTATCTTTTTCCGATGAAGAATTCAATACTTTGAATAAAACCGCCATGAGAATTTGTTGATTCTTTGCTGTACTATTGTATCGTTCATCGTGAATTAATTGAAGAGATAAATAATATGGAATATTAAATCCCGGAGTTAAATTACGATCAATATGAAAAATATTTTCATATTCATTACTTATCTCAAGAAATAATTTGAAATTGGGATTGTATTCCGATAATTTTGTTAAAACGACATTCTTATCTTCGAAAATATCGTTCAATAAATGAATATTAAATGATCGTACTAAACGTAAACAAAGCTCCTTTTCATTATTCGTGTGATTGAAAAACTCTCGTAACGTTTGAATTTTTATATGGAATTTTTCATTCGGATTCCACGTATCTTTTAATTTGCAAATAGCTGTACTAATAGTTCTCAAACGAAAGTCATACGTTTGAATATTCATAAACATTTTCAAAATTTCAATAAGACAATTCAAATGAATGCAATTCTCTTCATTGTAAACTTGAAGGAAAACATTTTTCAAACCAAGTAAATCTTCTTCATGTTTCTTTTCAGTCTCGTGTGAACACATTTGGTTATCATGCGTATGAATATAGAATAATAACCGCGCAACTAATGATGGTTTGGGTATATCAGCAAGTTTTTCATATTGTAATGATTTTAGATAAAGATAATTGAAACAATGCTTAACAATGGTAATATCATTTGAGAGATTGAATTTTAAACTTTGAATATGTTGACCATAGATATTCGATAGTAAATCAAAGGTTCCTTTGCTGTTGTTTTCGTCAATAACCAAATCTCGTAATCGATGCAATAGTTCCGGTTTTTTCGATAAGATTAACTCGAAGAAGTCCGCGAATTTTCCTTCGAAGTTTTTCCTGCAAATCGACCCGTTGGAATTCGAATATAATTCAATACCTTTATCGTAGAGAGTTTTGAAAATACAATCGAGAATTTCATTCTTTTCAAATATAGTTAAATTGAAATGTTTAAAAATGGTTCGATCGAAGTGATATATTAATGTTGTCAACGGTTCAATGCATCTTTGGTAATCTGATGTGATTAGTTTTTCAAATATTTGAATCAATTGTGAAGAATAAAACTTCGAACTATTAGAAACACTGATGTGTACCAATGGATTTTGAACGAAACTTCGTAATAAAACTTCAGTTGAATAACTTCGGTTCTCATCGAGAATTTTGTCTTTTAATTTTAAAAAATAATCTTTAATATTAACCGAGTTTTTGCTCAATAGTTTCGCTTGTAAATTTTCCAATTTGAAAATATATTCTGCGTCATTGTCGAAGATATTTTCTGACAATTCTCGAATCAATGGTGTATAATTGAGAAAATGATCATAATATTGTTTTAGAATATCTGATTTTTCCCTTTCAGATTTCAGACCACGAGGATCAAAAGAAATCAAATCTGGTATTTTCTCATCAATAGCTCGAATAATTAATCGACCAATATCATTTTTATTCCTTTTTCCTTGAACTTTTTCCTTGATCTTTTGGTTAATATCTTCCAAAGTTTGAACATTATTGCGAATCAGTCGATAATGCTCTATTATAGCTGCTAAACAATTTTCCAATGATGAAATTATACCAACATTTTCACTTGAGTTTTCAATCTTTTCCTCAATTAACTCTTTGAAACTTGATAATTGTTCCGAAAAATCTGCTTGTTGATCGATATTTTTTCCTTGTTTATCATACTGTTCAATCACGGTGACTAATTTAACAAATAAATCATGTATATATGCCGCGTTCTTTATTACAGTTTGAAGTTTTCTTTCAGCAGACTTGTTGGTTAAAAGTTTTTCGAGTTCATCAGCTAAAATCCATGTCTGACTTGTTTGGTGTTTCGAAGACATCGTCTTAGTTATTATCTAGAAAAGCAAAAAAGTCGAAAATGAGGTTTGCTACAAAAGACTACAACTAAAAAAGAGGATAATATGTGTAAGTTTCAGTTTTTTTTTAGATTAATCAAGTATTTGAATAACTCCGCCAGTTGCAACTAATTTCCCACCTTCATAAAGCAATATGGGATCCTTTTCTTCAATAACCATTCCTTTGAACAAATCCAATTTCAGTTTTAAATTATCACCTGGCATGGCTCTCCGTTGACCATCTAGGAAAGTGATTTTAGCAGTGGCGACACCAGTTTTGGAAAACACTTGTGGTTGATAAGTTTGAAAAAAAGGTGTATGCCGACCACCCTCTTCTTTTGTCAGCACATAAATGTCCACCGTAAAGTGTTTATGAAGTGTTACAGTCTTGCGCATGGCAATAACTTGTCGACGTCGAATTTGTTTCGTCGTTAAATCTCGTAAAAGCAAGCCGACATAGTCACCATTTTTAGCACGATCTATTTGTTGTTTGAACGTTTGTATTTTGGTTGCTATCGCGTTAATTATAGCTCCGTAGCCGGCAATTTCGACTTGATCTCCTTGATGAACGGTACCTCTTTGCACGACGCCTTTGGCTACAATTCCCTTGCCAGAAATATTGTGAATATCGCTGATCGTCATTAAAAAATTCTTGTCAACATGTCTGTACGGTGATGGAATAAAAACGTCGATTGCATGCAACAACTTGTCTATTGCATCAGCATCTATCTCAGTTGGCTTCTCTCTATTGCTAGAATGTTCCCATGCACGTATTATAGGAATAAAATCTTCATTGTTTGCATCAAGAACCAGTAATTCCTTCAATTCTATTTCTATCTGTTTCAATTTCTTTTCGTCGACGTCTTTTGTCTTATTGAGAAAGACGACGATATTTTTTACACCAAATTTGCGGACAATTCTCAAGTGTTCACGTGTTTGTGGCATAATACCTTCGGTAGCATCTACAACTAAGATTGCTCCATCAAGCACCGCAGCAGTCGAAATCATATTCTTGATAAACTTTCGATGACCGGCACAATCAAAATGAACATAACGACGTGCAATCGTTTCATATGCCACTGCGATAACATGACCTGTTCAAATGAGAAGTAGAAAATGTCATGACAGGAAGTTTAAAAGACTTACTCTGTTTCTGTGATGAATGTGTTTCATTTTGAATCACTGAGATTAATTTTTTGTAGGATTTATCTTCGATCACTGGGATGACTTTCTCGTCCGGCTTATTTTCTTTTTGTCTTTTTTCATGCAGGACTATTCGTACAAATCTACTGTATATCGAAAATATGAATCTATCTGCATCGTTCCTACCTTTGAAGATGGCAGCTGTTAGAGTTGTCTTACCATGTGACTTATGACCGATCGTGGCGATGTTGATATGAGGCTTTGAGTGATTCCGTCTAGAAACTCCGTGATGAACATTCACTAAATAGAATTTGTGTGAATTAGTTCAAATATAGTCTTTTATTACATGAAGGAGGAAAAAATTACCTGAGTTAAGCGGTAAAATTGCTGCACACAGCCAATAATCGTTTTTGCAACTAAGTAAAACATAAAGATATTTGATAGATTGTCTAGAATATTATAAGATTCGTTTGAAAATTATACCAATCAACAAAGTTCTTGCTTTTAATTTGATTATCCTTCTCGTTGTCACTATGTCCCATTATTGCTTTAGCTATCGACTTTGGATGCTTGAGAGCATAAGTCGAAGCATTGTATGAACTTGTTGAAGTATGTTTTTCATTTAGTTCAGCTATGATCTTTACAAACGTTTCTATTTGAGCTGAACCAATTGTTCCACAACGATCTATATCGCAGAGATTAAATGCCTATAATGGTATAAACTGAAATTATTTAGGAAATCTTTTCTCTTAAAGTCGAACTCACCGCTGTCAGAGCATGTTCAACATCTATCGGATCTAACAATTGATGTGCATCCAAAAAACAATCGAAATTAATAATATTGTTTCGACCTTTAGTAATTCCTTTGAAGATATAATTGCAGAAAGACGTGGAATTTCCTCTAAATACATCAATAAAAGATTCTTTATGATTATTTGTCTGATAATACAAAAAACTTAACAATACTCTGGATTATAGTCCTTCAGCGTTTTCGTATAACTCGATTTTGTCAATATTCCTCTATGACTATAAATACAGAAATGAATGAATGAATCGAAGTTGACATGATCAAACGATATTTACAGTTCTTCCAATATCTTTCGATATTGTTCGAGAATTTCATCTTGTGTGATACCTACCTGTCGCTTTTTGATCAAGCCAGCATGATCAACGAGCGATTTTTCTAAATAAGGTGTGTCACATTATAAGAAATAGTTTGGACTATAAGCTACTCACTGCAGAAGAGCGGTAAGAATGCGAGAATCAAATCGTATTTTTTCATACTGAGATAAAAAGAGGTTTTTTGTTTATCAAAAGCTTTAAAAAGTATACAGACCATTTGTCAACAAATTCTTCTTCATTAATTTCATTTTTGGCACATTCACTTCCGGTAGTTGTATTTTTGTTCGATTCCATGATCTGATGAACAATCATTTCTGCAGCGACAGGATCAACCGCATCTTCTCCGCCTTCTAATTCAGTGATCAGTTCTATAAAATTAATTAGTTCGTCGCTATGAGCATGTTTAGAATCTTTCTGAGTACAAAGTTTAAAAACCTTGAATAAAAAGCTCGGTTTAAAGCAATCGTTTGCAAATAAGTACATACAAATTTAAGTTGTTGTTCTATATCAGCCAATAGTGACAAGGATATGGCTGACATAAATTCTCCGAAGCTAATAGTTCCACTATTGTCGTCATCAATCTTATGAAATATATGCCTACAGTATGGTCCTGCACTTCCTCTAAAATGCACACGCACATGTATACATAGACGAGATAGGACATTTGAAAAAGAATTTACGATGTATATAACTGTTGGTATGCACTGATAAAATCTTCTTCATTTAGTTGACCTTTGGGTCTAAAGAAGCAAAGCTGTAAATAATATTATTGAAATCAAATGTTCGCGTTATTTACGATCGTTTGATGAATGTTTTATGCCAAAGTTGAACAGCTTTGTCATTCAAGAACATGAATTTGTGTTTCAACTTAATCTCTCTAATGACCATCGGGTCCAGCGTTTCTGAAAAAAAAAAGTTTGATCACATACATTCTGTTTGCTTCATGATGAAAAAAGGTGTATAGACTTACCCCACGCAGTGCAATAATAATCGCGAGACTTTATGGCTCCGTCGTGCGCATAAAAAATGACACAAGCGTCAGGTTTCATATGCAGATTAACGTGTAAATCGTGATCGATAACTCGAGTAATTGGCATTTTACCGTTCTCTGTTCCGTGCATAAGATGACAGAAATATCGAAGTTGCTTGTACCAGTTTTCTTTGTTGTCTTGTTCCCATTTATTTGATATATTTAAAAGGAAAACATCGGTATCATTATAACGCAATACAAAGTCTTGAATTGATGTGAACTCTCTTAATAGAACTGCTGTATTCGGTTTTCTTTCTTCCTCTGTAGATGCTTTTTGATCGAATTCGCCCAAGGATCGAATTTTAGCATCAATTCTTTCATTTTCTCTCAAGAATTCCTTGATAGATCTCGTCGAACATGGATTTTCACGATCAAAATTATCCAATAGGTGTACCATTTTTGCTTCATCAGCTTCGCCACGACGAATCTGTTGGATCAAAGTAGCCAATTCACGTTGTGTGTGTACTTGTTGACCGGCTAACTCTGTTTTTTTCTCATAAACAATTCTTGTCCATTCTGGTGGAAGCCATTCTTGCCATGGGTCAATTTTGGCAACAAAGTCATTGAACATTCTTTTCGCATGAGTTATTTCTTCGAAAATATTTTCAATACGACTAACAACGGCACTCGTCACTTCTTTGATCATTCTAAAAAACCGATTCGAATAGTTTCGCTTGAATAACACATCAGAAGATATATTATTAGTGATTATTCAAAACCATTGCAGAATCACATTTTTGAAATGAGATTTTCAGGAGTTTAGAAATACTACTAACCGTTCAATTTTCAATTCGCAATTGAAAACTTTGGCCAATCGTTGTAAGGGATATAGCTCAAATTCTATTGGTTTTCCCTTGCCATCATTTAGTTTTGACAGCATAAATGGCACCTTTTCGAAGATGTCAAAAACGTCTTTCATTGTAATTGGAATCTTGTCGATTAAAATATCACCTGATAGAGTAATTTTCATTGAATCTGCGACTGAATCCTTTTTATCCTCCTTGTTCATCTTTACACTACCTTCGACATCTATATAACCTTTTTTGAATTCTGCTGCAAGGTTTCCTTGAACTTCTTCAGCTTCTTTAGAATTCGACGCCGTTTGCTCGAATGTAGCTGCTACACATGCTCCATATGTAATACCAATAACGCAATGTGTTGCATGTGGATTCTGAAATGCATCGAATGAAACACACTTAAGTAAATCCGTCATACTGATTTGTAAATGTTCATATTTGGTTTTTGCTTTATACGTGAATGTAACGCGAACTGTTCTACTATCTGTTTTTGTTTGATTTAAATATTTAGCTGAACCTTCGGCTTTAAGGACACCTGACAGCAGACTTAATTTCATTGATCCTTCAATATTCAGATTATTCAAGGTTTCACTTTGTGACTTATTGTCGTCCATAAGATAATCAGAACTGGCACAGTCCGTTATTAAAACGATCGATGACGGTATTTGTTGATTGAATAAGTTTCCGCCTTCAAATTGATCATTACGAATATCATACAGACTCCCAATAATGCCATGTCGTCCAATAGCCTGCTTTGTAGTTACCGTGTCAACATTCATCTTTTCCGTACCTCCGCCTACGTATCGACTGCCAAAGAGACAAAGAAACAGATGGCGTGTATCAATCTAGAACAGACGAAAATCTAATGATGGAACATTAGTATGCAAAGCATTCCTATACAATTCGGATGTTTCAAGGTGGATTTAAACATGGTAGATGCGGTCAGAAAAGTGCGGGTTCAAATGTAACAGATGAAAAACTAATTTTCTCCTTTTCAGTTTCTTTTCGATGATCGTCATGATAGAAAACTCGAAAGTTAGTTCAATTAACTTCCTTCAAAAAGTTTTGCATATGAAATAGACTATAGCTAAAAACGGATATTCTAATAGAGATGTATAAAAGCCGAAGAAGGTCATATTGTTGTTTCGATACTGAGAACAATAATGACGATGATATCACGGTCTGATGATGAAAGACAGAGGCAGACAATACTTTTGATGGTAAATAAATAGAGAAATAATGTTCTCTCAATGGTGGATGTAACGTGTAAGGAAAATTGTATTTTTTTGATAGCAGTAAAAGAAAATAAAAATATATTTTGTAACATCTAGGCGTTTGTTATGACAACAGAAGAGGATCACACACCCACATATGTAAAGACGTATACATCTATATATAGGATGTGTATGATTACACATGATGGAAAAACAAAAGCCCAATACGTCGTATATTGGAAGAATCCCAACACATCTTAGCGGCAGACGAAATGCAGACAGAACACAAAACGTCGATGTTTACATTGTAGAACCTACAAAGTTGCGACTACATAGAAAGAAAAGAGTAGATCTGACTGTACAATATGACGGTTTCATGGTGTTTTCACGATATTTGTTCTACTTTTCTAGTACCTAGTCTAGTTGCAATATCGCCCCACTAACTTGAACAAGATATCAATTAACCTTTTATTTTGTGGTCAAAAGGAAAAGCATAGACCACAACAATAGACTAAAAAACGAATAATCGATTGAGCAAGTAAATCGGTTCGATTCACGCAAAATTAGAAACAATTCTTATACTAAACGACGATATATATTCTGTTCATAAAATAGAAAAGAGCGAAAGATTGAACAACTCAACGGCATGTGATAAGGCGTCTAATGTTGTTATAAATGAAAAAAAATCAAAAACAAAAGCAATCGTTTAGAATAATATTAAGAATATCCAAGGAAAGAAGAGACTATTAAATTCGATAGAAATCAATCTGTAATAAAGGAATAGAATAGAAGTAAGTCTCCTATTCTTTGATAATACCTATTGTTGTCGCTTTCTCAAATTGTTCAGAATCACACAGAATTGAATCAATGTTGGTGTTGTCTTCGCTTACTTAGAAAAGAAGAGGACCAATAAATAGCGAATACACCGACGAGTATTGTGTTGTTGTTGTGTTTTGTTGTAGCCGTCAATTGAGAATGTCTTAATACAGATAACGTAGCTTATATACACACCATCGATCTGTCTATATTGAGTACTTCCGTCTGTTTGTATTGTTGATTCCTTTCAAGCATCCGTCGTTACTACGAATAATATCAAGGACATTCTGTTCTCTTTCGTCTACTACTTTTCCCCTCAAAGCTCAATCCTTTTCTCCGTACAATATCACTCCGGTACATTATGTACTTCTTTCCTTCTTTATGATGGTTTTCCGTCTTCTGACATATAGCCGTTCCTTATTCTCTATAGACAGATTCTGAATACATTTATGCATAATGTTAGGTGTATCAGAACTAACAGCATGAAATAAACTGGTTAATCATTTTATATCTAAAATAATATCATTACTCCTAGTTGTATTTCACTTATTTCATACGTATTTTATATTAAAAGAAAAATGCATTCAATCCACCAAGAGCTAATGTTCAGATTGCAAATAAACTACGAACATGTGAATATAATTCATATTCTATTTTAATAAAATGTTGAAAGATATTAGAATGCTGGTTGAGTTTAATCTGAGTAACAATGTTATTCATATGAACAGAGAAAACATATAGTTTGAACATTAAATTCAGTCCTTCGATTCAGTTTCAATATGTTTACTTTTCGATAAATTGATATTGGTTGGTACATAAGCTCTGAGCGTTTTATTCTCGTTCAATAACAGCTTTATTTTGAAACACAGATACGAAACATCAACCAACAATGTATTCTCTATTGTTGTCGGCAACATTAGCTCATTTATTTAGGTAGACGACAGAGACGGATGAAATGATCTCATACGCTCTAGGTGAGTGGACACGACTGCGAGAGAGAAGGGAAGAGAAAAAGAAGAGTGGGAGTGGACTGTGCGTGGGTTCATGCCGTAACAGTTTTGAAAAATAAAGTTTTTATCCAACGAGCAAAAAACGCTCGGAACTTGCGTGCCTACCCAATAACATTTCATTGTTAATTATTTTAAATCTGAAGCAGTGTGTACGTGCACAAAAGACAATAACTGCACAAAATTAGTTTTCCAGGAGCACTACCTAACCATACACGAAGTCATGCGGGTCGTTTTTCTATGAGATTTTATTATTTCCATGCTAACGTATCAGAAAATCTGCCATATTTTGGATATACTTTTTTGGCAAATATGAAGCATTAAGATATAGAATAAAACATTAACACTCTACGTTCATATTTCAACAATATCCATACAAAGAAAAGCGCCATCTATCGTCCAGTAGTTGCCTTTAAATGAGCATCTCACGTGGGAATTAATAAAGAAAAGCAAAGCATATTATATTTGTCGATGTTAAAGTTACTCGAGATTTCTTTCAAAATTTGTCTGGCCAATTATAACAGATCTCCTATTGTTTCGCTTGGATAGACTGATATTTTTCTGTGGGATAGGGTTCAAAGGATTCGTCAATGTTTATTTTTCATTCGATTCACAATGTCAACACGTAGAGAGTGGCCAGAATTAGTTGGACGATCGTTTCAAGAAGCATCTCAAGCAATACTTGCATCCGATAGCAGTAAGACTCGCAACTTTGCTTATACTTTATTCGAATCATTGTTTTTATCTCACGCTATATAGCCCTTCGTCCTTACAATGCACGAAACGGGATAGAAGATGAAATGCTTGATCCAAAACGTATCACCTGCGTTACTGATCAAAATGATATTGTTGTCAAAGTACCATATCAGTAGCAAGGTTAAAAACTATTTTATACTTGCGTTTTAAACAAGCGAATTTTATTTAATAAAATCAGTTATTCTATTTAATCAATAAAAAGTATCGTTTCGAAGGAAAAGAGTAGATTATGTTTATGATGTTTCTTTGATAAATTGAGTGATCAAGTCGGCAGCGACATCATTGCCCGGTTCTGTCAATGGAAGATGGTGAACACCTCTCTCGACAACTAAAAACTTCCACAGATTAGGCAGTTTCGGTACCCACATATTGACTTCGTCTGTTGTGATAATTCGATCTTCGGATCCATGAAGAACCATGGTTGGCATTGTAATTTTGTCCAGTTGATCATCAATTGCATCACGATCGAGAAGACAATTCAATGCTGGATCATAACCTTCAGCACCAGCATGTCGTTGAATCCACATTTCTTTGAGTTTTTCAAATACCTTTTCGTTAATGCGTGTAGGACCTCCAAATGATCCTGCTCTCATTGTTATTGCCTCATCGGATGGAATTTTTGTTTCACACCACTTGGCACGACCTTTGCCTGCATTGATTCTAGCTTGTTCCGGCGTAGCATAGACTGTAGTTGCCAGCAGAATCAATCCTTTGACCCTTTGAGGTTCGAGTAGAGCCATTCGAAGAGCAATAGAAGCTCCTTGAGTAGTTCCCATTGCATAAAACCGATCTACGCCAAGCTTGGTAAGAAGTTGTAAGGAATCCGAAGCAGTATCCCAAAACGTGAATTTGTCTCCACGACCTGTTGTTTCTCCATGGCCATGCGCATCGATTGATATCAGGTTATAGTTTGCATATCGAGTATCCTTAAATTGTTGATCGTAAAATCGAGAATTCATTAAGAAAGCATGGTGCATAACAATGGTTTCCAACGATTTATCGATCGGATGTGAAAGACGGTAAGCAATATTAACACCATTATCCAATGGCATATGCAGTAATTCTTTGTATGTCATATTACTGTTCGTTAGAAAGGTCGCAAAATAAATAGAATGAGGAGTGCGCTTTGTGTTTTACTTAATAAATATTTGCAAGGCAATATGTATACGATAAGCCTGGACGAATAGAAAGAGAATAACAACTCGACAAGACGAGCGCAAAGGCACATGGTATTTTGTTTTTCTTCCTCTCTCCTTTGAATATAAGAGAAAATCAAAATAATACATACAGAAAGAAAGAAAAATTTGATTCATAACATATTTTTTATCGATAATTATCGTAGAAAATCGTCAAAAATGTCGCTATTAGTAGGTATTTTTAATTGGCCTTGAAATAGATAGAATACGTAATTTCTACTCTATGGTGAAATGACATTCTTATAAAAACTAGCAGAATTTAATTTATACCGGCGTCATCTATACCGTATAAAATGGCTTCTTCTGATAAAAAATACACTTCAACATTACCGAAACTGTACCAGTATCCGAATTGGGAGTTGCCAGCAGAAAGTGTTATCAAAACTCATTCATTGTTAGCATTATCTGGTTGTGAAGAAATTCTGCAGAAGAAACAATCAAGTATTCCAGAATCAGTTGGTCTAGCTCGTCCAGATGCTTGCTGTGTTTTACTGAATGAAAGTTTTTATGATTTATTGATTAAAGAGCATTATCGATTGAATGAATGTCATTTAGTAGAAGACAGTGGAACACATGAAGACGAGGAAGAAGAAGATTTCCGTCGTCAATTAGAATGTATAAGAATGGAGTTGGATAAACAACCGTGTGAACAAAGGAATTTAGAGTTGAAAAATCAATCGACGAAGATCTTTCCTGCTTTAAATCAATTAAAACATGGCGATATAATACAATTCCGAAATGAACGATTGCAATTTTCCTATTATGTTTATCAAGCAAAAAAGGGAACATTTGACCAATTATTAAATCAATTCAAACTTCATGTTACAAATCTTCTCGAAGGAAACGATTCTCCAATTAAGAATTTGCAATCATTGCAAACAAATGACTATGAATGGATTTTGATTCCATCAATTGAACCTGATGGTTATGGTATTCCATCGATATTTAGTGATGCTCCATTACATCATTTCGGACATTTATCACCTGGCGTCATGTATCGTTGGATCTATGTGAATTTGATTGATTCATCGATGCCTATTTATGATTATATTCATCGAGATATTGAATTGAAAAAAACCTGTCCAACTTATCGAACGTTGGTGAATGAGGCTGGCGTTACTGATAGTTTAATTACTGATGAAGATGGTGAAGAGATGACTATTGAAGATTTAGAAACCTTTCCGATTAGTTACGTCTGTCTTTATGCAGAAGTCCTATCAAAATTAAATATCGAATGGAGAAAAATTGATTCAAATAATTATTGCAATCGGAATTCGGCTATGTACCTATTAGCTAAATGGATCCGACAACTGCAATGATAGAGAATGATCCTTTCTTTTTTCTTCTCAGTGTCAGTTTTTTAAATAAAAGCGAAAAATGACGCTGCTGTCATGTCTAAATGAAACTAATAACATAACATCCAGGATGCATATTAAATCTCCGTATACCAATACCGATATTCACAAGTTGTCGACGTGCCTCATACTTGAATTGCACCTTTACTTTTATTTTTCGAATTCGTGCTTTTGCTTTGGTCCGTCGACAAAACAATGTGTAACATGGTTTATTGACCACTTCCACAGCAACGTATACAGGTCCGATGTTTGAGTACAGACAGCTTCATTCTATTCTTCCTCGTCGGATGGTTTCTATACGGGTTTGAATCTTAGACGAATGTCGGTTTCTTTGGAGTCGTGGTCGTCGTATGACCTATGTATTGATCGGTTCGCATACGGTTGATGAATTTCAATCATACTGGACGAAGGAAATAGTGTCGGCTGCTGGAAAACGGATCTGTTTCCAGACCAGGGGAAAGAATTTTGGGATGAATCGATTGTTGAATAACGAATATTTGTATTAGAAGTACTGTGTTGATACTAGTTAGCTCTTAGGAGTAGGTACTTCATGAGAATTGAGAGTATCAGGTGTGCATAACTGTTGACAAAATTCACAAGGAATCGATACAATATCATCTCGAAGCTGAACGATTGGTCGATCTAAAGAATGAAGGAATAGGTTGAAATGAATAAAATGAAAGAAACGTATGATTAACTACAAACGGATGAAGATGAATTAATGTACGCGGATGGTACTGTAGTATGGATTGCCAGTAAAGACTCATTCAAATCTATGAAAGACGGACGATTTGTAGCTTGGAACTTCTAGCAGTGATGGATGATTCTCCAAAGTGAATGTTTGCACAGTAATTGCTGGGCCAGTGTCTCGTCCTTCAGTGTTCGTTTTCGAACTTCGTTATCATCATGCAGAGAACTGCATGGTAATTACCCGTAGGAACAAGCTTCCCACATAAGAACACCCTCAATAATATATATCAGATCTCTCTGAACAGCTTGATTGGTCAGAATTTTGAAGAGTTTCAGGAGCAGCGTAACGCACTGGGAACGACAATCATTGTAGACATAGATGAACTGTTCAGTATGGAATAAACGATACTTGCACAAAATTTTCCCTTGGTTCACTTGGATTTGATCGAAAAACGAAAGCATTTCGGTAAGCCAAGTCTCCATGAATGATACCAATATCACCCAGATAGATCCATAGCATCACATATTTGTTCAAAGACTCTTATCAAAACGCGTTCTGTTGGTTTAAATCCATTTTCTTGGAGCATTTCAAAAAGATTCCTACGTGAGACACGTTCCTGAAGGAGCATAACAGAGCCAGGGTTACATTGTACAAGACCAAAAGTGCGGACAATGCGTGGATGATAACTGAGCTGGACATAGAACGATGTTTCTCGATTAAGCTTTTGCTCCGTCAATTCACAAAATTATAATTGATGGTCCCTTGCGAATATCTACATCAAGTTGAAACTGATGCTGAATTTGTTGCGATCCGGATACGGCTTTCCATTCATCAATCATTTTCTTCGTTGTACAGTATGGTTTCAATGAATCTATACTCATAGGTTGTCTTGCCATAGGACTTGTTTTATTTCGTGACAACGAATCTACGATTGCTGCTCGTTCATATGTGTGTCCATTGTCACCTGCAACAGGATCTTCGAACATTTGTCCAGTAATGGGACATTCGCATGATTCCATGTACACACGTTAAAAATTGTCACGTCTTGTGCAAATCAGAAAAACTCTGCAGCAAGATGTGAAGAGATAAGTTTTTGTTGTTCTGTTTTGTAGCGCGATGAAAAAATGTATGTCTCTTTCTTTAGACATGTGATTGTAACTATCTTGCCATTGAAAGTCTTCGTTTTCTCAAAGAAAAATAAGACTGATTCATTCGTGTAGTAAATCATTTCATGAAATATCAGTGTCATATTTTATTGCAATAAAAGAGTCAGTCTTATTATGTTATATTCCCGATTCCTGTAAAAGTTCAAGTGTACATTTGTGTAGCATCAAATGCACCTTCATCACTTATTAGTGATGCTACTGCTGCATTGCGTAACACATCATATATATCGTACCATTGTCCATTGATTGTTACCATGCGATTAACCAATCGTATGCCATGACTGTAGTCTTTATAAAATCGATCGTGTGATTTGTAATTCAGTGGTTGAATCATTTGTCCTGATGGGTACCACCACCCGACAATGGCGACATTTTGTGGATATGTCAATAATCCTGTAGTGATTACCACATCTTTTTTATGACCGCTAATCAATTCACCAGGGGTTTTATTGCCGAGCGCAGTTTGAATTTTCGTATTATGAAATACCATGCGTTCTGTTGACATCATTGTCGAATCGTAGGGTGGACCATTTGGACTAGGTGTTAACTTGACTGTTGCTGCTTGCCAGATTTGATGTGCCATCTTCTTTGTTGGCAGAACAGCACCGTATATATCGGCAACTCTCCGAGCTGTTAACGGATTTAGTGGTGTTCGTAAATAATCGGCATTTGTACCAACGCAGAGAACATCAGGAAGAACCCAATATGTAAGTGTATCATTACCAGCTGTAANGTTGCTGCTTGCCAGATTTGATGCGCCATCTTCTTTGTTGGCAGAACAGCACCGTATATATCGGCAACTCTCCGAGCTGTTAACGGATTTAGTGGTGTTCGTAAATAATCGGCATTTGTACCAACGCAGAGAACATCAGGAAGAACCCAATATGTAAGTGTATCATTACCAGCTGTAACCGAAATTGGAATCGGAGTTCTCATGAAATCAGGAATATTTCCGGCTTGAAGTTCAGCAAAAATCATATCTTCTCTGAGTTGATTCGGGCCAATATTCATAATTGAATTACCAAACGTTGTTCCGGTTATAGTGCGTGATGGAATGGAAAATATTGGTGCACCATTCCCACCAATATTTGCAGATGCACTAGCTTCGAAACCAGTGTCATGAGCAAGACTATTCACACAATTGCTGTGGAATATCACTATCGTGATTGTAAACAATACGATATTGATCTGCAACATTTTTTCAAATCTCGTATGGTTCGCTTTTATGGAAAAAAAGGTGTGCGAACTGAATTTCTGAATAACACTTTTAAGCTCTTATCTGATGAAAAATAAATTCATGTGAAAAAAGAAACTGATGCTGCCATGTGTTATATTAATCTTTGTTTTTCTCCTTTACAAAAGAGCAAGCAAAGTATAACGAGAGCCTCTGATGTAACTTAGTCTATGTTCTAGCTATATAACTTAAATACGTTTATTTTCTATATTTATTTCTGATTATAGAGAAAAAACAAACCCTTTCTCTTAGTAGAATTTATTTCGCATAACCAATCAAGTGAATAAACGCCTGTCATAAAAAAAGAATTACTCAATGGAAAATCTAGGAAAGACTAGTATCCAAACAATCGAACTTCGGAATATTGAACACTATTCGACATCGACCGTTTGCCAAAAACAAGAAATCGATAGCTCTTGTATTGAACTGAATTATTTATTGACTGGATAGAACCACAACTGGATCGACCAGGATCCGTACCTAATCCGCTTGTACCATTATAAATGAGTGACCAACTAATACCGAGCGTAAGATTCGTTCCGGATAAATTACTACCTTCTAAGGATACAATAAGTGGATCACTTTCAAGGGAATCATTTGCAGTGCATGATTGTATACCGGTAACTAAAGATGACCCACGTTGTAGTTCGAGATAGAGACCAGTGTTCAAACCGCAGAGAGAACTATTATCGGTTTGATTACATGATCCTAGATTTAAATACTTTGTTGATGTGTCATTATCACATGCATTAGCTGGTGGATCACTCGCTGCATATTGACCGACGCCAGTACCGGCTGTTGAGCCAGTACTACTAGCGCCAACAGTTGTATTATACACACCTCGAATCGTTCCATCTGCACTGACAAGCGGTAGCTGACCTATAACAGTATACGGCATTTAGTGGAAGCTATTATATTATTCGACTACAACGGAGTTGTTAGATATGCAGGTGGTTGACTTACTCGCCATTCCTGTTGTCGTTGGTGCGGAGGTGGCTGACGATGAAAGTGCTGTAGTAGACGATATATTTGTGCCTGATGATGTTTGTACCAATGCTGATCCTGTTGTAGATACTGCTGTTGGTGTGGTAACAGTTGTTGTTTCAGCTACATTATGCTTGGCATTTGTCACTAGAAGTATCACGACTAAAACGATAAACACTGTCACAGTCGTCCATAGTATCACAAACAGAAATTTTCGTTTTTTTCCTCGATCGACATATCTAATGCAAAAAAATAATCGAATATCGATTCGTGTACTCTTAAATACTCTTACGATGTTTTCGATCGAGCGACCGTCGTTTTGATGCATATCTCAGAGTTAGTTGATTGTGTCTACGATAATAGGAATAAAAGAAAAACAAATCAGATGGTACGATTTCAATTTTACGTACTTCGAGAACTTCGACAGGACTAGGATCATGGATCGATTTGGTGATCATCTTTGTATGCGTCAAATGTACGTTTAGTCTAAAAGAAACGAGTTATTGTACTTCTCAATTGTTTCCAGATGATTTTCCCTGCAAGCTACTGTTGCTAAGAAAGTTGTGTTTCTTGAGTTATTAACATAGAGAGAAAAGGTGAAGAATGTCTTCAACGTTAGTGAATATTGCGTTAAATGATATGAAAAGAAAAAGTTGTTTTGGTTTCTCGTTATTCTATCAAGAAATAAAGTGTTGTTCACGTGCTACCCAAGTGGACGAGAAAATCACTGTTAATTCATTTATTGTGAGAGGAAAGATTGCGTTAAAACAAAAAACGACAATTTTTTCTCGATTGAGCATGGAAGTTTCAATTAGGAAGATTTTCCAAAGTAATTATTTTACACACATGGAGGGAGTTGAATAGACAAAAGCTATTGAGTTGTTATGAAAAGGAAAATGAAAATAAAGGACTATTTAATATAGTTGAATTAAGAGAAAAGGTCCAATCAGGGATATTTGTTGGATCTAAAATACCAATCACATTAATGACAATTGTTTCAGTTTACTGATATGTGATTGAGCAAAACATTCGAAAATCGATTTGAATAGAATGGTTTACTGAAAAATCGACAATAGGAATTTTGCCAATCTTGCAGATTTTCATTGATCGTGTACTACAGAGCTGAATCATATTCTTCACGATTCCGATGCCTTGCTTCTAATTTATGCAGAGTACCATTCAGCTAATAATCTACTGAAACAAAATTCGCTTGTGCAATCGTTAAGGATTCTGAAAACAATTCCATTGCACGATTGTGCGAGCCAACTCAATCTCAACAATCAATGATCGCTTCATAAATGCTTGTTGAAATAGTACGTCGGCCAAGTTTTCGAAACTGCATGCGATTGGTTCATGATTCAAGGGCCGATGTGTTATTTGCATATCCCATGATAGTTTGATATATTCAAAAGCTTTAAGAAGCGTATTTCTCCATAAAATATATACGTCCGATTACATTAAGAATTCTGCTATAGTTCGAGGAGTCGAGTTTCCTTTAGATATAAGATTCTCGTTCGCTTGGCTGAGCATGATCAAGACTTAGAAAATCTCGCGCTTGTTGGTTTTTGAATACTTGCTGAAAGTATTCCAGACCTTCAGCATAGTTTCCCAACGCAAAAAATGCGTTTCCGATATTATTTGCTACCTGATCGATGAACAGTGCATGGGAGTTGTTGAGTGAAGTTCTTCATCAAACCATCAAGAAAATACCGAAGACGATAAAGATCGTCGATATCTTGTGTTCTCAGTGCGTTGTCAAGCGAATGTTGCTGAAGTGATGTATATAGACGATCAATTTGATCGTAGATGTCAACGCAGTTTTGAATTAATCATGATAAATAAACTTGTAGTTGTTAATGATATTTGGAGTATAGATAAATAGATAATGGCTTTTCTTGAAGACGTTGATATGTGATAAAACATCGGAGATAAATCGAGAAAAAGCGATTAGAAATATTTGTTTCATACTATTGAATTGCATGAAATATATTCGCGGTTGACCAAACTCCTTTTTAAAATCGTCGGGAGCAAAATAGACGAGAACTTGCTTTTCATTGAGAAACAATTGAGTGATTCAATAGATAAAACATGTAATTTGTTAACGTGGATAAATAAATAAACGAACTAGGCATTTTCATCATTCACGTATAAGTGTAGCGAATGCAATATGGAAATTTGATTGTGAAATATGTATCCATTTCGCGAAAAAGATCAAGTTGACAAAGGATATTGCTACTGTTCGATACCTTGTACGAGCATCATTTAGCATGACTTTTTTAGGAGATTGTCGATCTATTACAAGTTGATTATTCATATTGTACAAGATATACGTTTTCCTCGTAGATCTTCGATAGATCGATTGTCAAAAAGAAGTTGAATTTAGTCAAATAATAAAACAATTGGGAGATTTCTCTTCATAGGCATTGTCTTGTCATAATTGTTCGATTAGTTTCGAAATACAGACTTAGCAGAGAAACTATTGATTAAAACAGACTTTCCCAGTAAAATGAATTGAGTTTTCACTCGTTTTCAAACAATATTTTATGCATTTTATCTGACTACCTGTTTTTCTTCATTTTTAACAATTACCACAAATGCTCTTGCGCATTAGTAAATAATAAAATAAATCAAACGGATTGTACAACGAAGAAGAAAAACGATTGACAGCGCCAAGTGAATTTTCAAAATATACCGTATCGAAATAAGATCGATAAACAACATTTTGATATTCTTACAGGCCGTCATTTTGGAATTATGCTTTAAAAAAAAGATATTTAAAAATAACATTCAGTCAAATTTCCTGTAGCATATGTTACAAGTTGACGTACATGCATTTCTACGCAGATTATCTCATTCTTGTTTTGCTTCATTATACAACTACGCGTTTCATAGCATATGGTATATATTTGATGTTTTACCCTTATTACATAGTCAGAAAATACTGTGAAATCGATCTGCTGATTTCATGTTGTTTTTTTTATTAGGGTATAGCTGGTGTGTATGTATGATGTTTTTGTGATAACTCTTGCATAATTTCAGACGGTTGTTATCCGATTTTGTGTAATTATCGGTTCCAGATCGTATATCGAATAAGTCTGAAAATGAGTCGACAAGTGGTTTGAAACCATAGGGTCGCAGTTAATCATGATACAATGTGTTAAATATAGCAAAAAAGGTCAAAACCTGTTGTTTTTTGGTTTCGTTTTAGACTGACATGTTCAATTCGGAATCAACAGGCCAAACGTCAAATGTTGAACATCCAACATCGTATGAAATTGATAAATAATATTATTTCACAAAGAAAATGCAGCTACGTTTTGTCCTAGATGTTTTCACAATCGAAAAAGCCGAATACTTCTGACCGCTCTATCACTCTTCATTACTGTATTGATCGTCATGGTAATAGTAGTTGCAATTGTATTGAACTCCAAGAAAGAGACAACAACAGTTATGGCACCAAACGCAAGTACAACTATAGCAATAGCGAAAACAACAGCTACAGAACTAGTGGGCACAACTATGTCAACTACAGACATGACAATTACAGAATCTACCATGGCACCACCACCATCAAGTAACAATAGGATTAGAAGAATAAAAAAAGTGTCCACTTAAATGTAGAAGTTGAGTTATGTGTTTGACGAGAAAAAACGTTTAAAAGCTTCTTTTTCAAAGAATGTCTCATCGAGTCGTCAGTTTTCTGCATTTATGTCGATTTTATTTAAATCTTCGAAATAACTCTCTAGTTCAAATATCAATCGATGCTGTCGATGAGGCGATCATGGGCATATACAATACTACAGTTGGTGGAAATAGCTTACCAGCAACTGCTGGCAACGGAGTTGGACAATACGTAGTTCGACATCCGCCAAGTAATGCATGTGATAATAATATAAAAACCAAATATCAAAGTTTTGGATGGTGTTCCTTATCCGACTCAGATGCATCTGAATGTGGTCACAATACTGGTTTGTATTTTGAACTCAAACGTGATTAATTAGTGATTACTAACTTGAGAATACACGGATCTGCAGTTTCGTCTGTACGTAGTTCAAAAATAGTCTCATTGGAACGAAGCAATCGATCAGGGACAGCTCTCACTCTTGGTACAAGTTGGGTTCTTAGTTATCGAGGTCCTAGTGCAATTTGAAATCTTCTTACAGATGGGAAATGGGGTAAAATGGTATCATTCGTTAACACAAATCGATATAGAAGTTATCGATTTCTAGTTTTAGAGACTAACAAGAATACGGACAGCACCGAGTATTTTGTACTAGAACTTTACGGATACTGACTGATTTACGCTGTAATAAATAGTTAGAAGTGCTTCTTCTGTGTAGAGCATAGCCGCGAAAGCCGGAAATTCATGTGGGAAAGGAAATGTATGATATATCAGCAACAACAATGATAAAATCTTGAATAGAATGAATGAAAAAGGAGAAGCCTATTTTTTATGATAATGTACGTCGACAACGTAACGATTAGAAACTATACAATTTAACTTCCGCGTATTGAACGCTATTTCCACTGGAACATATACCACATACAACAAATCGATAACTCCTATAAGAATCTATGTCGTTGAAGCACTGCATTTCGCGGCAAGCATCTCTCTCGAGATCTGCACCTAAGTCCAATTGTGTTATTATAAATGAGAGGCCAACTAGTACCTAGAGCGAGGCTTCTTTCCAATTCATTCATTCATTCCTTCTAGTGATATGATAAGCACCTCGAATTCAGGAGAATCCTTCAAAGTATATGAACCGAAACTAAAATATTTCGTCGTTTTGTCACCAGTGCATGTGCAATCAGGTGATTGACTTGACATGAGTCGGGCCACAGCATCAATTGATATTACGAAGCTAAAACAAATCATTGCGAATACAAATAATTTTCTTAGTCCAATATGTTAAAGAATTTAATATCTCACATTCTCTCTATTTCGAACATGTATACACATATATCTTCTAGAGAAAGTTTAATAAAAGCCGATAAGTTTGATTTGGAAGGTCTGTACGAAAGGTAAAACTAGAAAGCAACTCAAGTGGCACGACATCTGTCTGAAAGAATTATATCAAACATGGCACGCCTAGATCCTGTTGCCAGTTTCAGAGGTGGTAGTCAGCGTTGTTGTTGTCAGTGGCAATGTTCTTAAGGCAATGTATTTAAATGTTGAGGAAATGAAATTGACTTTAAGATTGCCGAAGCTCGTTTTTTTTCCAAATCTTCCATTTGTATATTTCCGTCTCTGAGACTCTTTTCGTCATGCTTTTTCTTTCCTTTCGTGCGGTGTAAAAAAACACTCACATCATTCTAACAGGTGACTCGAACAAACGACAAAACAACATTCAGTATATCAAGAAAATACTCTTCTCATTATACTTACTTCAAAACATCCACTCTAGCCAAAGCGTTTATTTGTTCTGCGATTTATATGAAAGAAAAACACCAATGACAGATGAATTTAATTAGAGAAATGTAAAGATGTATGAATGATAGATTGTATGTTGCTTATCACGTATACATATACATCACACGTAGAACAAGCACACTATACGTGATTTTCTTCTACTTCAAGCTTGTTGGAAGACGACATGCTGTTTAGCATTTCATTCTGTCGAATATCCATTACATCGATATACTTCACTTCACAAGATCGTTTTCTTTACAAAAGATGTACCCTACATTGCTATCGTAGTGTGATATTACGATGTCTCGCCGTTTGATATGATATATCTTCTGCTAACATTAAGATATTGTCTTGGATTTAAAACAAAAATAAGACTGCTAAAATGACATGTGTTATGCGCTACGTGATATTCGGGATAAGAATATCTCTCTTGCAGCTTGCAAATAAAGATTTAAAATATAATTTATTCTTGTTGTATAATGGCTAATTAAAGCTTTCACTTTTCTTCAACGCTCCCTCCATGCATTTCTCTCCTAGATAAAGGACGGGAAATAAAAATTGAGTACAATCAACGCTTGGCTGCTATATGTTTTTTTGAGAAGAGAAACTAGACAAGCTATACGAGTATGGGGAAGATTGAAGTTATAAATGAAAATGTCAGTGGTACTCTGGAGGTAAAATTTTCGATGAAACCATTCCAGCTGGTGTTTTCTTTTTTATTGTCTTAGTCAACGTCAACTCGCTGGAATACATCAGCAAGAACAACAATCGCCTTATCTAATGCAAGGTAAAAAGCGCTGTGGAGACTCTAAACTGATCAATAAAAAAAACTTTATATAATATCAGATGCTGTAACAATCAAAGACAAAAACTTTGCTGCATCATTCTGCCGATCGCAGCTATTATACTAATAATCATAAGTGTTACACTTCCGGTTGTGATTATTGGCAAGAACAAAGGTAAGCAATTAACTTCGCCAGAAACAACAGCATCGGCACTGTCGTCGTCATCAACAACAATTACATCGACATCAGTGCATATTTCTTCTACTTCCAAAGCAACATCTAGAGTGGCTAGTGCAACAACCGAATTGCCATTTACATCACTGTCGACACTTTTGACTACCGGATCTACTGAAAAAATACAACCCTCGCCACAAGAACTAGGTACAGTCTAAGTATAAAAAGAGATTAATTAAGTAATCACGTGATTATCTATAGTTCAAATTTCACTCGATACCGTTGACGGAATAATAATGGGCATATACAATACTACAGTTGGTGGAAATAGCTTACCAGCGACTGCTGGCAACGGAGTTGGGCAATACGTAGTTCGACATCCGCCAAGTAATGCATGTGATAATAATATAAAAACCAAATATCAAAGTTTTGGATGGTGTTCCTTATATGGCTCAAATGCATCTCGATGTGGTTACAATACTGGCTTATATTTTGAACTAGAATCTGGTGCAACACTAATCATTGGATTGAGAATATGTGAAGGATTAGCCTCGCGCGCGCTCAGTCCGAACATAGTGTCACTGGAAGGGAGCAACCAATCTGGGATTGATCTCACTCTGGGAGCAAGTTGGACTCTGATTTATCAAGGTTCCGCTGAACTGAATGAGATTTCTAGTCGTGAAGACTGTGGTCGAATAATAACATTTACTAACACAGTTCGATACAGCAGTTATCGGTTTCTCGTTCTGGAAACTGTTTCGGATGTGGACTCTACGGAATATTCTGAAGTGCAACTATACACAAATTCAGTTGTATAACGAAAAAAACTAGAATGTGTGCTTGCTTTGTTATATGATCGTGCTATATGTTTTTGCCGCAATAAATATTGTCAGACGAGAGGAAATATTTTAAGTGAATTCAGTTGGGACGGGGAGGGGGTGTTGAGTATAGGCATTTTTAAAGAGATTGGATTTTCGCAGGCTGAACAATACATATGATAACATAACAGTTCACAGAGCATCAATGGTCGAAGATAAGATGAAGTTTCAATGTCAACCAAGAGTCATCTGGAACATTTTCCAAGTGATATACCGTAAGGATTAACGTGGTCAGAATAGTTTTATTGTGACGCGACATGTTGTGTTTTGTGCAACAGATTGAAATATGTTTCTTCGTTGTGGCTTAGTCTATTGAGAAAATACTGCTGCTGCTGCATTTGTAAATATCTATAAGTTTGTTCAGATATATCCAATTGATTGTTGGTTCGTAGCAACTTGATCAATCAAATTCGTAAATCCGTATCTGTTCTTCAAGGGTGAGTGAGAAGAGTAATTGACGCATTTCCGGCGACAAATAATAGAGACAATGATGAATCCAGTTGACTATGCAAAACTATTGGATTTATTTTACAAGATGTTATGTAATTGTTGGTCCAATATGTGCAACTCTTCTCCGATATACTTTTTTGATAAATGTTTTCAATGGTTCAGCTACTTGACATAGAGCAATCATCATAAATACTAATGAAACAATAATAAATATGTATGCGATTCGAAAATGATATTTCGGTGCGCTATTGAAGAATGACATAAGAATAAATAGTACATATGGCAGACCTAGAATAACCAAAAATAGCACAATAGATACAATACGATGAATCATTCGTAGTTCTCTTTGTGCACGCGAGAGAATGTTTGCTGGAGTGATACGTTTACCCATTTCTTTGACATATAAAATCATTTTCAAGTAAATGATCATAATAACACTCAACGGAAATATGTATATATACAAGGCATTGAATATCGTGAGAAATGACAGACGAAGAGGCATCTGACAAATTTGATCATCAGGAAGATATTTGATTTGATCGGTAACGATTAATAGAATGAAATACACAAATCCACAGCACCAAGTCAGACCGATGAAAGACGCTTGTAGTCGGCTTGACTGCCACATTAAACGAGATGGATATACTATAACCAAATATCGATAGACAGCTTGTAACAAGTAAGAATACATCTGTATCATTGTGATTGAATAACTCAGAGACCCGGAGAAAATGCACAAATGATTATTCAGTTGTCTTTCTTTCAAATCATTTTCAAGCGTAAATATACTGATGACTAATACGTCGATCGCATAAATGAATTGGGAAAGGTATGAATTGGTTACAAGTATCATTGGAACTGTATGGCACGTGCGTTCATAGACAATAATTGATAAACAAAATAGAGCAAGAATAATTGCAGTAACAGCGCAGGAAATCTTCAAAACATCAATAGGGATAAACCACGATGCGGTGCTTATTGCAAATGTATCATTATCTGCTGCCATGGGATAGAGTAGCGAATAGAAGAAAGCAAAGCGTTTAGGTTTAAGTATACTCTCGATGGTTTGACTGATAAAAGTAAGAAAAGAATCTCTATTTTGAAGATATCCCTCTCTCGAATACAAAGACTTTGAATTTTTAATCAACGACTAAGGGTTTTAATTATAGTCTGCATGATCTCATTTACTTTATCCAGAATGAATTCATATATAATCACAATGTGAGTTTTGTCGGTTCGGATTCACTAATGAAGTTGCATAGTATCGAAGCTCAAATGTAGCTCTATTCTTATTCCGAGGGGAAACGAAAGTTTTTAATTGGAAAATCCATTCGAAGAATATAATGAATGATGTTTTCAGATAGAATTGTAAACTTATAGATAAAGTACAATCTTATCAGGTGACATTTGATGAACTGGTCATAGTCAGGTTTCGAATAGCATACTGTAAGTAATCTGAACACTTTGATGCACAGATAGTGTCTATCCCTCATTAGAAGTATTTTTCTTCTCATAACGTATAAGCCTTACACTGCTTTACTAGCCTTTTTCGACTGTTGTTACATATAGCAAAGCTTTCTGCGTCATATTATGAACGCTTTCACATTCTCTTGCTCCGTGCTATCTCCATTTTGTTTGAAACAGAGAACACTGACTTGTTAATTAGCTATTTGAAGATTTTTCTACTTCAATTACAACGGAAGCGTACAGTTCCCGGCTGTATATGATTTTCACAGTAACACTCACTATACTATACTCTACTGACGTACACATTTACAGTCCATTGATGGAATGACGGTTAGGATTGGCAGGAATTTAAAGCAAATCAATCCTATGACGCTGCAAGAATTCGTATCCTATATTGCTTGTGCGGCCATAGAAAAAACAGTCTCAATATTCGCTGAGCACTCGAGCATATCATTATAAAGAACAACAGAGAGGCGCTATAGTTCTCGAATAATATCACGTTAGAAGTTATCCAGGAAGTAGTGACATCTTTTTTTAAAAATTTATTGAAGGCACTCCAAACAAACTTCGAGATTTCCCAATGATTCAATCCAGGGAAATAAATTATCAGAATTACGAAATCAAATTACTCATATGTCGCTCTCTATATATATACGCGCGTTGTTTGTTAATCGAATACCTCTTTTCGACGGCGCATAACGGTTATTGCATAATCGGAAGTATTATCTTGGAAATTCCCGTGTAAAAGTATTTAAATATTGTTTTTGCTTTAGTTGGACACAGTCATTTTGTACATACTTTGAACACACCTATGAACATCGCTTCAAGTAATTCTCTTATCAAAGATAGAGTGCGTCATGTGATTGTCAACATACGTCAGCTGACAAATAGACAAAATCTAGTCTCGACTTCTATGGCAAATGCTTCAGATCGCTCATCGATAACGGATGAGCAACACCAATTAGTAAAATTTCGTAAGTCTGATATTAGTGTAAAGAACGTACTAGTAGAAACCGAGCTTTTGAAAAAAGCCCGGCAAAGAACGTTTTCTCATTGGAATGGTCAGAATATTCCGTCAGCGGCCCAAATGATTTATGCTGGTTTTTTCTATTGCAACGTTGCTGATCGAGTAATCTGCTTGTACTGTAACTTAATCTGTCAAAATTGGATATCTCAAGTAGACGATCCCAAAGAAGTTCATCGAAATCTTTCACCGCAGTGCGTTTATGTTCAACTAATGTGCCAAATACATGAAAAGACACCGATATCTATTATTAACCAAAATTCTGACACACAATCTCAAGTTCTCGGTGGCTTACAATTCAATAATATCGCACACACGTCAGTCGTCCATAGTGCTTACGCCGAAATACCCAAACGAGTTGCTTCATTCGCTTTGTGGCCGACAGATTCTTTACCTCCGGTGGATGATCTCGTGCGTGCTGGATTTTTCTATACTGGAACACAAACAGTCGTCACTTGTTTTTATTGCAACGGATCATTACAAAACTGGGGTGCGAAGGACAATCCTTTGATTGAACATAGCCGATGGTTTCCACATTGCTCTTATGCTAAACAATTATGTGGTGACGAACTTTATCGAAAAATTCAACAATCAAAAAAAATAATTCAAGGTTTATTTGCCTTCAATATAAGTCACACATTTGATTTTTTTTTCTCCCTAAAGAACAAGCGAAGATCAAACAATTAAAAGAACAAAACAGTGGACAACCAACAAAAGATCGTCTATTATTGGCACCAGACGAGAATACATTACCGCGATTAGTTGCTGCACGTCTCGATCTGCCCATATCTCAGCGTCTTATTCAACAAGGATATAAAATATCAATCGTAAAACGTGCTTGGGAAGATCAGCTACGACTGAAACGTAAGTTTAAACTATATGCTTTTTACTAAAATATTTGTTAAATATTGTTTTCTACAGAGGATGACTTTGCTTCAGAAATCGACTTATATGTTGCTTGTCTCATTCTACAACGTCAGATTGATTGTATTAATGGCAACAAAGAAAATATCGTTGTTCCACATGTTCGAATGAAATCCATCCGAGAAAAAGAACAATCAAGATCATCAAGCATTTTGCCTGCTGTTGAAGAAATATCCTCGAAAAGTGCCACTGGTACGACGGACGTAGAAGTCACGGCAAGTTTCAAAGACGATTCGTCATCATCCAACCTGTGCTCTCTATGCTGGACGGAGGATAAGGGATTAGCCCTTTTACCTTGTGGACACGTCGCAACATGTGTCCCGTGTGGATATTCACTAAAAATATGCCCTATTTGCCGACAAGGAATAGAGGCTTTTGTTCGGGTCTACATGTAATAATAGAAAATCTAAAATATCATTGACTTGACTTATATGTAATAGTTATTATTCCGGATGTTTGAGTACATAATTTTATACTTTGTTTATTTAAGATTAAATAAATAATCCAGATAGTCGTTGTTCATACGAATGCGATAAACTAAAGTTGTTCGATCGATATATGAGCTGCTGTTGATGGTCTCGAGTTTTCACTGTCGAGAGATCGATTGATATTACCCCTTATTTTCTCCTGCATTAAAATCCGGTACTGGACATCTTTTTGTTTCATTCGTCTGCGGTACTTCAGTGGGACACAATACAACCATATGATCATGGCCAGATGGTAAATGATAAACACACTAACAAACACACCGAACATACTATGATCTACAAATTCAATCCAAGAATGCTTTGGCACACGATAATCTGGTGTCGTTTGCCAGATAATTGCACTAAGAGTACTGTGCCATAGGGAATGGAATACTAAATTGAATATCCCAGCGATACCATATCGATCCAACGATGTTAAATAAGATATTGTCGGCTAAATGCACAAACGTCGTATTCGGTCGAGAAAACGAATACGATCCAACTCACTAATGATCTATTCACTGTCCATCGAAAAGTAATTGATGTAAGTAGAAGTGTACATGATACTTGTAATCGATTGACTGCATATCTTAGAATGATAAAATATATAACCAATGATTTTAGAATAACTACAGATACTTAGATGATAGAAAACATACTGTAACGGTATTCCAAAAGTACAAAAAGAAACCATTGTAATCAGTAGTATGAGACAATATCCGTTCCAAAAGAAATATTGGGATTGACGTGCTTTTGTAGACAAACACAAAAAAAAACGATTGTAAACTTGAAAAAGAATATATGCACCAACCTGCATGACAAGTCACTGTTAAAATGGATCGTTTTCGATCTTCACTACTTGGCACTTCTTTCATCTGTTGATCATCGATTTCGTCGTCGTTGTTCTCAACAGCATCATCAGTGCGAAAAACGAATTCTTTGATAAATCTTTGCTTTGTATCGACATGTTCGTACAGGGACCATTCTTGTTGATCAACGAAGGCTTCTCGATTAACTCCACTGAGCCGTAATGGATCAGCAATCAAAATAACTTTGTCATGGTAGAACATTGATGCAACAGATATGGATAAATCCTGTACATCACTAGGGAAATGTTGAAGTTCAAGTTTCTCCCAGAATGAACCTTTGATGACGCGATGCTCACAAATTTGTATCATTTGAACGTCTTTACCAAGCTTTGCACTGTACTTGATCTGTTCTTTGAGGTCACCTAAACTGTTTTCAATGTAGATTTCCGGATGCCAACAGCATTCAGCGTATTTGTCCAACAGAACAGATTTGTCTTTTCTCAAACGAAGTTGATCGTCAGACGAAAGAATGTAAGTGAATTTGTCGGCCGGAACGAACCATCGGGACTCGATGGACGCATGCGCTTGGTATTTCTCATTCAATGTATCGATTTCACCTTACAGATCGCGACAGAAATCCGTACGAGAATACATCTCTTTCAAACTATTTACCTATTCGTAGAAATACAAGACGAACATAGACGATTGTTGCTTTATCCATCTGTGACAGCGAAACATCCAGATCAGTGTTTGTTATATGAAAAGCTTCATGGATAAAAGAAAATAATGAAAATTAACTCGAGTGTGCTAGTGAAAATTTATCACACCTGATAGACCTTTACTAATTGTCGACATTGTACTCATGTTGGATGATTTCGTGATGTGTGAAGTTGTCCTAAATAAAATTTTTTTCCATACTCGACTCAAACATGTGTACACTACAAAATACAAACGACTAGAGTATCTTAAAATAATTTCTGCATCACATATGGTCTGCTGAGAGAGAAAGAGTGAATATTTTAGATAAGGAAAGTAGAAGATACTTTTCTTTTCGAGATGATAACATCGGAGTATCTTTTTATCCTGAGAACTTCAATCTTCCACCATCATCATCAACAACAGTCATCGTGAAGTGCAATCAGTGTATCATTTCTCAGTTTGATGCTTTCAGTCGACAATTTAGATGAGCAACAAAGCATTCTTATAACATTTTTTTTATCACGGATCCAAGTATGACAACATAACAACAAAGGACACCTGTCACATTATATAAGTGAAAATTAATTTGACAGTTTCTATCGTTGGATTTTTTTTCTGATGTTCGCGTCTAAAAAATACGATCGCTCAGAACAGGCGCGACATTTACACGAATTTTCAACTTGAATTTGAATTCTTTTTTTTCGTTCTAATTTATCCGATTCTCCTCTAAAATTATGTACTGAGAGACGTCTTTGCAACTTTATTGGCTTCGCATCTCTATGAAAGAACCTGAAATAGTACATTGTTTTCATTATTTTACTCTTCATTTTCACCTCCACGGACATGTGCTTTTAACGTTCGCTCGTTCGTCTTATGTACTTTTTCTCCAACCATGACAATCGTGCAGAGTATCGAAAGAATAGTAAAAGAAGAATTCAACACATCTCTCAATCGATTTATAAATAAACGCAAGCAAAACAGCTGAAATGTCCGCACACAATAAGTACGTTGAAATGTTCTCGCTTTTTTACGTGCTTCATTTCAAACAATTTGTATTTCGATTCAACTAGAGCAACACACGTTATATTAGTGAATTAATACGCACATCCTCAGCCAAGAGAGCAGTTAATCATGGTTGCCTATTATACTCATTATTATAGAACTGTTCGAAGATGCAAGCAGTACTTCATATGTGGAGTTCTTTTGATAAACTTCCTGGTCTTAATACAAATTCGTCAGTACTTTATGATTAAAGGAAATAAATTCGACGTGTCGTGGATAATAGTTGAAGAAACCGATTCAAATATCTTACTACCTTGCACCCATAAAAATCGTTCGCAATTGTTGAACAATAAATGTATTGATTCAAATCGATTGGTACCTGCTAAAAAGAATCATACATTTGCCAGTTTAGTGCAAGAATTTCCATGGCTTCGTGGATCTATTCTATCTCTCCAGTCTCATTCGTTAGCGTATTGTGCTATTCCGAAGATTGCATCAAAAAGTTTTCTTACGCTCATGATCTATGTTTATATTCGGGATGCAATTGATCATGTAGATACCAATGGTACAAATATTGTCGTAAATAAAACTCGAGCAGAGCAACTGGTTAATATACAGAAGCTGCACGAAGCACTTCGAAAAGTAAGCGACATCACTTTCGAGTATATTTAGTTTGAAATTCTTTTTTCTTGTCCTTAGAATGGAATTCCACTACCGGAGAAAAGAGAAGAGATTTCTGTGACGTCACTGATTCAGATCTTTCTTCATCTTCTCCGTTTTTCAAGCGTTAACAGTACATCACCGACGGTATTTCTAAATCCACATCGATTGAATCTAAAAGATATTTTGCCGCATTTGAATTTTAATTACACAAATAGTTCGTCGGACATACTCTCTCCATCGTTTACTCGGGTACTATTCGTTCGCCACCCATTTGAACGTTTGGTCTCGGCTTACAAAGAAAGAATTGCAACCTTAGAAAAAGACAGAATCCAACAAGAACCATACTATGATGCCTTACGCAAAATCATCTGTTATCGATTTTCAAATAAGAACCGAACACAGCGTTCCAACCCGAAACCCTACTCGTGTCAGAGTGTCATTCCGTCATTCGAACACTTTGTTCAATACATTCTTAACGGTATAGATGATCCTAGTACAATTATTCGAATGGATGCTCATTGGCAACCATACACAATAATCTGTCAAGTTTGCAATATCAGATATAATTTCATTGGTAAATATGAATCATTCAATGACGATTTCACTTTGTTGCTAAAGCGTCTCAACGTATCCGACTGGAATAAACAACATCATCTTGGTGCTTCGGACAATCGTACAGCAGAGTATAGACGGATGTACTCATCTTTACCCGACCAATTGATCTGCGGACTTGTACGTTTGTACAAGAATGATCTACTTTTATTCAATTATCAAATTGAAGACTATGTCAATCGCACTATATCAGCTTGCTAGTGTACGAGAGAGTATATATATATTATGTTTTCTTTTGTAAATAATAATACTATATTTTGAATGATCTGTTGGAACGAAAATGAATAAGACAACGGCTGACGAGAAGAACTAGATTAGTAAAACAGTCGATAAAAGTGTCAACTTCAGGATGGGGGAGAAAGAAAATATTCACTTACGACAGCTTTGATATCCATTCTTCAATTCTGAACATGAATGCACCATAGTAGATAAATTTCTCGGTCTTATTATCAATGTAATACTCGATCTGAAACACGGGGACGGAAAGCTTTTTTGCTCACCGGTTGGTAAGAGCAAACCAACTAACTCAGTTTTATATCTAAAACGTTTTGTTTTCTGTGTTGTGATTAATGAAAGTGGAAGGCGAATAACCGTGTGTGTTTACGTTTCTCAAGAAAGTTTTGAACAACAGTCACATGATTGACCATTGTAGACTAATGAACAAACGATGAATTCCGAATATGGTACCATAATTACTTCTTCGCAAAACTTCAAACATTGCCTACTAATGGGCAATAATTGTGGATGTCATGAATTGTTTAGCAGTTTTCATCCTTAATACTCAGTGTACCGTCTTTTCAAATAAAACACTAATTTTACGTTTCAAGTATCTAATGAAGGCACGTGGTGGTTGTGAGAGTAATTAGGCAAAGTTACTCGAAGAATTGCGACTGCAGGCTGAACATTCAGAAAATATTCTCAGTTATTCGTGCGCGGAGAACTTGTCTGAAGTGTCAAATCGAATTGAATATTTAGTTAAGTGAATTTTGACATCTAATTGTCATCAGTGTCGTTTTTGTTTGATCATTTAGAAGTCAGATAAAGTAATAAACTGGAAATTCAATTGAAAAATGAGAAACTCAGACAAGTGTGATTACAGTGAAAGCTTCAAAAGATAATCTGAGGTGTTGATAAATACAGGAAACAATTCAAAAATCTAAACGCATTAAAAGATCATCAGCTAGCTAAACATTCAAGTATGTCGACAGCGATCCCCGATGAAGCGGTATCATCTACTTCAAGTAATCCACAGTCGAAAAGTGAAAAGATGGAAATACAAATGTGACATTGATATGTGCAAGGCAGTGGTTCCAAAGGAAAATGATTTGAAGCAATATCAGCTAGCTCAATACCCGCATGTGCAAACAGCCATAGAGTCTTCAATAATAACAACAACGACGTTCACTGCAGACAATTCGAAGGAAGCTAGAATAAAACAAAAAAAGGATGCGGTATCGACACCTGTCAACAATCATTTAATGAACAATGAAAATGAGTTCAACATGAAGTAGCAAATCCTCCAATCTGACTTCGTTGTCTGCTTAGCAAAGAATGTTTCCATTTGAATGAAAGTTACTTAGATGCGCAGAATTTATACAGGCATGTTATGTCCCAACACGCAGACTGCTTTCCACGAGATACCTGCTGCCCAGTTTCCGACTGCATGCAGTACTTCGAGGACCTGGCTGGATATAAAAATAGATCAATGCTTTCTCGTATCTAAGATGTACTCAATACACACGGTGTTTTCTTTGCTAATTTCATTTCTTCTTTCTTCATGTCTTACATCGCCGTTATGTACAAAAGCGATCAACAGTAACTCATGTTGTCAAGGAAGAAAAATAGGAATAGCGAATACATCGAACACAAGTTGTCAAGATGGAACTCTGTCGAGTATGAAAACGCTTTTCTTGCGAACTTTTATCTATATGACTATTTTACGAAAAAAAACCCTGTCATTTAACGGCATGGCCTTGGAAAGTATATAAAATAATATGATAACAGCTCAATGTCGAATTTAAGTGCACGGGCTAATAAAAATAAATAAATATATGACGAGAAGTTTGAATTCGATAGTCACAATCTCATCCACAAAGTCCGAAAAATGTTTGACTCACTGAATTTTTCTCTTTCTCCGAAAAAATTTCAAAGAACTCACTTATACGTGGAGTGTGTGCACGTGGCGATAAGCTAATAAATATTGTCGAGTTCTTTTCACGACAATTGTTTTTTTCTTCATTGCTATTCACATTTGCAGTTATTAAACGTCGAGTTGAAGGTAGGAAGTGGTGAATGTCATGAATAAATGTAAGAGAAAATCTTTATAGCTAGATTAATCGAAGATGTCGACTTGCTCGTCGTGTAATCTACCATTAAAAGATAAAAATGAACAAGTAACCACTGCGACTGGAATCATGTTCCATCGTCTTTGTTTAGAACAACTGCTCAAGCCAAAATCACCAAATACTGATCAAGTAAGACAAAAGTGTTCGTATTTCTAAAATGGATGTTGTAGTCAGAAAGTATCTTTAAAGAATGCACACAGGAGAGAGCTGAGTCTTATATCTCTTTTTCGTACATATAACTAAGCATTATTGTATGATGAAAGGCTTCAGACACAGCAGCGTCAGGAAGAGATGCAAAGCAATGCGAAAAAGGCGGTGAATGTTCGCAAATCAACGATAAAAATCACTGCAGTAAATGGAAGCATCCTGATTATTGTCCTGACGGTGGTCATTGCAAGAACCAACAATTCGATCATCTGAAAAAGTATCGACATTTACCACTTTGTTCAAAATCGCACAAATGTATTGACTATCAAAAGGAAGTAAAAGAACACTGCGAAAAATTTCGCCATTTCGCTCCACGCTGTCCCTATGGAAACAATTGTGTCGACTTTCACAACAAAAAGCATATCGATGAGTTCAGTCATCAGTATCCGACGCCATGTCCTTATACGCCGTTTCACTGTTCACTTTACGACGATCTAACTGAACACAGGAATAGCCGAGGTCTTTCGAATGCAGTTCACCAACACTGTCTCAACTTCGCACATGTATGCAGAGCCGGCCGAAACTGTACCGACACAACACAGCTGCACTGGTCTAGATCCTTTCATATCGCTCGAAACCTGTGTCCATATGGCGAAAAATGTCTTCGACTTACCGATGAAGAGCATCTCAATTCATTCACACATCCTAACATACTCGACATTCGACTGCTGTGTTCCGAGGGTGATAATTGTTCCGATCGTGCTAACGCTGATCATGTAGCTAAATTCCGTCACAGCATAGCCGATGAAACCGGTGTAGTACCCTACTACAGTCTAGATAAAGGTTCAGATTTCACAAAAAACCATCGAGAAGTTCTTGAACGTGTAAAGCGATATGCCGAAAAGAACAATTGGAAACCTTTACCTTCTGGAACTATTCCCAAAGATATCCTTGATTGGGTGCACACTGTATTTCCTATCCATCGATGCAATCCAATTATATTCGAGTCTATCCTTCTACATGGACATGTCATGAGTCGTGACTACATGGAGCGATTGAAAAATCCCAAGTTTGTTGCTACTTCAGTGCTACAGCACAGTCGATTACGACGTATTGATGGTCTGAAAACGCCTGCATGCGAAAATGACGCCCGACAGTATATCACTGCCTTGGTGTGCGTCGAATTCATAGAAAACAATTTTACATCAGCAATGACTCAAGGAATGGATCTACTTGATACAGACACAGCAACGCCAGCTGCAGCTCATCCTGATACGAAAGCGTTCTATCAGGATATCATCAAAAGAAAGGAGAACCGATTAGCCTTGACGATTGGAAATCAGGATGTAAAAGCAATCCGTGACAAAACGCTGCAGATTGCCCAAGCGTCGATCAACCTTCATTCCAATCCAGCTGGTATTGGTCATCAACCCGACAAGATTTTGCGCACCGACAAGCATGTCTTCAGCATTCTCGGGCCACACCAAGGTCATTATTACGGTGACGTTATTGTAATTTTCAAACGAGAAATCTTACATCATCCTGATTCAAATATATCGATGCAAGCAGCTACGACGTACCTGAGTGGCAATGCCTATAAATGGCGACCGTGGTTAGGACAAGCACCTGGTTCACAAGATGAACGAGTGAAACAATATCATGCCACAAAGCTACATGCTGGCGTTCCAGGTTATGACTATGCCCTCAGTGCGGAATTGATGGCATTGACTAGTCTGCACCAAAAATTAAACTCATTGGATGTTAGCATAAAGCAGATTCTCGATCGATGGACATCAGTCGATTCCCATCAGACCGTCGAAGCTCATTTACCTCAGTTGATTCCTCTAGAATATATCGACCATGTCTATATCCCGAAAAATATCTATGAGAACCTTAGCGAGGACGCTATGCGAGCTATCGCTGCCGTTTTTCGAAATCGAATAAGTGTGGCCGAACAGATAGTCGAGCCTGTGGATAAAGTGCCAACATTTGCTCCCAGACCTCCGGCGAAGATGCGTGCAGAGTACCAGGATGCTTGTGTTCATACACTCCTGTTCCGCTACAAGAAGTACACCTCTCAACTAGCATTGAATTATCACCAAGGAATAACAATGACTATACGGCCTACAAATTTCGAAGAACATTACGTTTTGCCTCTCACCATCCGTCAAGCGTATGAACACTATCGCATTATGGAATCAGACCCGTCAACGGCTAACACCACCTATATTTACTGGAAAGCTGCAAACGGCGATATGATGATAACATTATCCAATGAAGAAATTAGCCCCACCGAACATCAACCAAATCTTCGCAGTCTAATTTGCTACGTCGCTCCCAAACCGTCAGTCACGGACGACAACTATCACGAAGCAAGTACGTATCTTTCAGCTGGGCACCCATTCCAACACGAAACGATTGTTCTCAAAAAAACCTATAAAATCAAGTCTAATCATTTCTATATGGGTTGTAATGTGAACGACTTCTTTACTTACTGTTTGGAAATTCATCGTGGTACCGGTCATATCGTTCTTTCTCATGCAGGACCGAATGGTATTTACAATCACAATGCGATGGTTTGTGCCTTCAGTCGATCAGAACTCGATTTAACAACACTGAACTTTGTTCATGTCAGTGCAGGAAAACATAAAGTACCGATGCGAAATCTAATCATTTGCTTCGATCGACAGCCCAACCTACATCCGACATTCGACAGAAACTTCCGAAGTAATTTGCAATAAACTGATAAATAAAAGCATAGACAAATCGAAATTCATTTTCTCAAATTTTTCCTTTTATATAATTAATCTTTTTTTTATCAAGCTCAATCAATAAAGAATCAAATACAGTAGACTATGCCATTTGACTAAATATCCATGTGAATTTGAAAGCAACAACAAACATCGGACAGTTCGTTATTTTTCGTCGCTGTTCTTCCAGCCATATAACACTTAATTTTCTTTTTCCCTTCTCCAGACACGTGTTTCGGACACTGTAGAGAACGAAAAAGAACGACATTCAAACGAATTGCATCGAAATTCAGATTTTTATCTTCGAGTTGGAACTTTTATCAAGAAACATTTTCGATGAAAACCAAAAGATTCCGCTGTGGTCGTTTATATCTAAATCAAAATGGTATTATAGAAAAGCTTGACCTTGAAAATGGTGGAGGCAGCCGATATTGTCATTGGTTCGGTAAACAAATGAATTTCGTTCAAGTTCATCGCCAAATTCGTAAAATTTACGGCTTAAGTAATACAAACTCAACCTATGATTGCATGTTTGATTTTGATTTCATACCGTAGGTGATCCGCAAATTCATACAAAACTATACGATTATCAAAAGCAACCGTTAAATACTGGAAAATATCGGACGTTTCATGATTATATCGACTCAAATGGGTTAAGTGGCAATAGTATTGCTATTTACTTATACACGTACGACGAAGGTTGGTCTGATTATGTTAGTCCATTCGAAAAAATGGTTTTGTTGACTTTTTAGACGTAGATAACGATGTCATCTCAAATGTATTGTCATCAAAGGAAATAATACCATATGTTGATCAGTCTATCAACACTTTTAGAATGTCACATGGTAAGATCAAATTCGTAGACGGCTTTTGAAACATTCTTTCTGATTTTTTAGCGATAGAATATTCGTTTATTAATGAAATCAATCGATTGAAACGATATGTTCGAGAGCTAATCAATGAAAACGGAATAGACAGTGTCCTACTTCAGTTATTCGAGAATTTCTGTACGATTTATGGTTACGTCTTCTCGATTCTTCTGCCTCTTCAACAACAACAGAATGATCCAACGAAAGCTGTGGAAATCACTGTGTACTTAAACAATCTCGAGAAGATTTACGAAATATTTGAGTCGACTAAGACGCTGCTTCATCGAAATATGAGCAATTATCGTCGTAATCGAACTTATTCAACTGTCCGAAGCACATTCTTTCAATTTTATAATAACGTGCAGGTAAAATCTCCTATCGGCCATTCAAAACTTAGTTATGTTTCATAGATCCTACGCAATCGATGGTTGAGAAATGACACTCGAAAGATTGATTCGACTTTGCCGGTACTAACACATTCCGATGAGAGAAAACCAATTTGTGTTTATATACAAGGATGTGAGAAAAAACTGGATGAGCAGGTATCCTTGTGTTTATCGGTATGTTCGAATCCCAATCGAAATTGTTCCTATAGAATTAATTCTCGTATTTAGACTATAAAATATTTATTGCAAATCTTACAAATCCTGAAGCCTGAAAAGGTGTGCGTTTTTCAAGAATTGCTTTCGTCTTCCATTAGAAAAATGAAATTGATCCGATCTGATATTACGCTATTAAGCATATCATCTCTGGTTCACGTGAAGCAGCAATTGTTATCGATGAAAAACCAATTTCAAAGCAAATTCGACGAACAAAGCATTAAATCATGGCGTTCTGAAAATGACAAGATTATCTACAAAGGTTATAGATCAACAGTCAAGTCGATTCGGCTCTTACTGACTTCACTCGATTCATTTATATGATAAAATCGATCGAACTCATCTTTTAGTGTGATAGAAATCGTTCTGTGTGATTTTTGCCATCAGAAAAAAAATAAAAACTTGAAGACAGTCAGCTAATCCCACTCGATACGAAATGAGTGGTTGGTATATCACGATATAGAAGTTCTTCTTCAGATTGATCGTTTATTGATATGTGTCTATATTCGGAACATAAAAGATTGTTTTCACTTTTTTCTTGCTTTTATTTCAAGTCGATCAGAAAAACGGTTTTCTATGAAGTTTTCACGGAAATTCTGGTTAAACCTTTGCGAACATAACATAGAATGTAAGCATCTTGGTTTGTTATATCTTTGGGATTCGCCGATGTGACAAAAGAATCGTCAAACTCATACCAGAGCTTGTTTGTATGATTCATTGCAATAGTGAGATAGTGTCCTGACTGCAACGTTGCTCCACGATGAATTGAAATCGCCACAAGATCGTATCGAGTTGTGGATGAAGAGTTGAGTGCTAGATCATGTGGACTAAGATTCTGTACTGGATAATCAACAATTGTTCGAATTTTCTTATTATTTATTTGTCGTCCAGGAAATATGTCGAATCGTCTGAGTTGAAGAATAAGTACCGGCGGCAAAGATTTGATTTTCTTGTATTTTCTGGCATCTGTCTGTTGATGACAGATGTTGCAGTACCATTTACCATGTGTCCCAATGGTCTCAGGTTTTAAAAATTCTTCCATACATTCGGACAGGTTCGTTCGTGATTTACTGGATATGATTGGCAAAGACAGAAAATTAAATGCGCTTACCGTTTTTACATCTGTATCGCACTTCCAACAACGAACACTACTTTCAAGCTGCCCTTGGAAAAGATCGGATATAGGTGAAGATCTAGTCTGTGAATTCAAGAGATCTTCGTGTAGAGCATCAAGAAGAAATCCCATAAACTCTTGACTGTCGTGTTGTTCATATGCTGTAAATTGTGTGGTGTACCTGTCAATTGCTTCTTTTAACATAGTTGGCGTACATTTTTCTAACTTAGCAGACCACATTTCTTGGATCAAACTGCTGTATGCTGATGCAGCACACCCTCCGGTTCCGGCTGGATTGTTAGAGTTGACAAACTTCCAAATTTGTTCGTGTATAAAGAAATTAGTTAGAGGTTGTATATTACTAAGACATTGTAGCGCACTGTTCATATAACATGTGTTGCCACTATTATCGAGTCCACACAGGCCGGGTGGTATTTCATGATATGAAGAAGTAACGTTCGACGCCTGACTTAATCTATTTGCAGGTTTGCCAGGAGGAGATATTGGATCTGCGACGTTCACCTTTGCAAGATCATTAGCGTTCGGCTGAGGAGGTTTAGATACCATGTCCAATTTATTATATGCATTTGGTTTGCGTTTTACATCGAAGTAAACACTTAGAAATCTGTTATTGTAGATAATCTTCAAGCGACTGTCGTCTGGTGCGTGTATAAGTGATCGTCTATGCGTTAAATTATCAAATCTATATAGAGCCAGCTGCTCGATGGTAACATCATCCAATGACCATATTGCAATGATATGTTTCTTTAAATCGCCAATAGTTTCCTGATATACATCTACGTCGATGGTTTTGTACTCTGCTCCACCTGACAACTTCCAGGTTATTATAGCATCTTTTCTATACAAAGATCGAGAAACAGCATCACTTGGACTACTGCGCCGATCCCAATGGTTAGCATTTTCAGATGTCCGTTCAATTTCTATCGAACGCCCGACCGAAGAAGACTGTGGACGTGGGTGTCGTTCAATTTTTACGGGATCTGTTACTGAAATGAAATAAATAATAAAACATTATTCTTTAACCAACCATCAAAGGAATAGAGGAGAAAAAAATGCTGAATGTGAGCAGTAATTCAGTTTTATCTAGACGTTCTCTATCGGCAGAGAATTGTGAAATTAGTACTAAAGCACGACTTCACTAATCGTAAAGATTTAGTAACAAATGTCTAGTTACCTTGTGCAGGTAAAGAAATACTTCTATTAATACGTTGGTATTGGGCTTCAAGCCGCTGTATGTGCTTTCTGCATACAAATTTGTCGACAGATATATTTTTCTGCTGCTTCACATTGCATATATATGAATATAAATCTGGATCATCATATTTAATATCATATACTGCCAAACCACTTCCAGACCGGCGTGAATCAACGAAACAAGGATCACCAGAGTTATAAAATAGACAGTAATCTGTTGCTGGTTCTTGTAACTGGTAACGCGGCATTTCTAGTTTGTGTTTACTAACACACAATCTAAAAGATTGGAATAATAGATTTTCGCCATGTCAATATCTTAGTCCCTGTCTGTGAAAAACCATCACAATAAAAAGTCACTTAGGAACTCTAAAAGCTTCAAACATAACCTAGAAGCGCTGCCATACGTACCCCATGCAATATTGATTCTGATATGATTTGAAAGCAATTCAGATAAGCCGTTTTAATGTTATTATAAAGAATTAAGTTGCTCGATATTGGAAGTAACTACAGGCAACGTGTTTCGATGAATTACGTATGAGAAAGCGCAAATAATCATGAACTCATACTTATATAAGAGGCTTCATTTTCTTTTTATAGTACGAATGTTTTTTTTAAAATTACACAAACATGGGTTTTTTCCCACATTCGAAATGCAAGAAGAAGAAAAAAACGACGCAGTACATACTGCACAACATCTCTCGGAAGAAGAAGAAAAAATTGTTTTTTCTCAGTTGAAATTCTCTATTTAAAACTGTTTATCGTAACTAGCGTAAAGTATTGATTAAGTATATTGTATTTTCAAGATTGTCAGTAGCTTGGTCATACTAATTGATTTACGCAACAGCCCATTGGATTTCTATTTTAGACCGATTTCAAGTAATGTCCACCGTCAAACTTTCAAAAGAGAAGAAGCAAAGTGGATCAAATAGGGTAATTCATTTATTTCATGCACCTACTTTTTTGCCATAGAGTAGTTAGACTCTAGTGTTACCTTCCGATGGGTGTAAACGTATTTTCTACCTTTTGACGCTTCCTCAAATTGTTTCTATGCTTGTACTCATATATATACTCTTGCCACTATAAAATCCCAGTCATAGTGGTAGCAAATATATGCGCTTGAGAGCAGGATGTCTTGTCATAAGTCAAATATTTAATCTTTGTTTTTTTTTATAGGGATTCGATCCTCGAGGACAACAACAACAACCTCCTCATCTCATACGACCCAAAACAAGTATGGATGATGTTCGTGGGCCACTACAAGAATACAGAGGATCAAGATATTCCCCACCACCAGAAAGAAGGTTCGAAATGAATTTTCCACCACGAGAAAGACAAAATCAATATTCAAATGATTATGCTCCTCAAAGAGAATACGCTCCGCCACGAGAAAGACAGAATCAATATTCAAATGATTATGCTCCTCAAAGAGAATACGCTCCGCTACCAGCCAGACAACTCTATCGTTCTCCTTCATATGATCTTAACGACGGTATGAACAATATAAAAATCAATCCAGTACGAAAAGAAAGGCCGCAGTATAATCCAGCCGCAAATAGACGTTATTATTCATCTGAAGGGGCAGTTGCAAGTGCCAGTCCACCGATCAATATTTCATTTATGGTCATGAAAGGACAAGCAATTCAAGTACAAATCAGGAGCAGTCCAAGCTTAGCAGAATTTCGAAAAGTCGTTGAGGAGAAAATCAGTACTGACGTCGATGATTACCGATTTATAATTGAAAGCAAGCAACTTGATTTGGTCGATTCCTCTCGTTTCAATATGCAAAAAAGCTTGATCCAAAATGGCGTCACCATCTTTGTTCTACAACGAATGAAAGGTGGATCGAGAAGTCAAAACACACAGTCGTACATGGAAGTCGCCAAAATCATAGATGAAATCAAACAATATCTGCCACAGGAATTAGAAAGATCGATGCATAAAAATGCGATATGCGTCGCTTGTCAAGAAACGAAAAAATGTGCACAGTTATGTTGTTGGCCGATATGTGCTGAATGCTTCATCACCTACTACAAAAGCACGAATTTTAATTTGAAATGCACTGATTGTCATAAATTAGTCCAACCAAGGCAATTCTTCAAATCCGAATCGTTCTTAAGACTGATCGACTGTCTTCATCAATCCCGAAAAATGCTGGAGTATATAAATTTTCAAATTTGCCGTTGTGGTTCCCTGATGTCGAATGACACGATGTATTCCAAGCAGCAATGCAACGCGTGTGGTAGAAACATATGCTTCTTCTGTAACAAAGATTGGGATTCAAATACGATGGACAATGTGAAATATACATGCCATAATAATTGTGATTACGAGACAAAGATTACCTTCGAATTACTTCCATGCCTTGAATTTGATCCCAATTTGATGATACCGAGTCGCCGCACGTGTCCAAAATGTTTCTATACAGGTGCATTCGGCGGTCGGTGTAAATATCACAATTGTTATTCCTGTGGATATACATTCTGTTTTATTTGCCTGGAATCAAAAGATGAATGCCAACAGAAATTCAACAAGACGCGCAATCAAGAATTTCACAAGGTACAATGTCGTGACATAAAAGAACAGACCTACGATATGTTTCCACGAATAGCTTAATGCGCGGGATATTTTGATGTGTTTTTTTTCTCTCTACATTCTGTTTTGTTGAAAAATAAATAAACTGTTGCATCACATGATCTCTTATTTTCGATCGGACAGCAGTTATATTATCAAGGATCGCTTGAACAGAATAGATTTATTGTAAACAAAATCAAGACAAATAAAGTAACCTCATATGCGAAATAGTGTTCCGTGTAAGTTTTGATGATCAGGATAGGGTTGAGGTGATGGATGTTTCAGCCAACTTCTTTCGCATAACGGTGTACACTGATGATTAGCAAAAAATGATCGAATACCATCTTCTCCCAAGTCCGTTAAACCAAATTGTTCGTTAAGTGAACATATGACCGGATCAGTTAGAATGTACCTGTCCTTTTTCTTTACACCTTGTAAGTCACAAAGAAGATACTGTCCTCGTGTGATATGGTAACTGAAGTGTGAAAGAGTTGCCATTGATAATCCTTGACTTACTGGTTTTAGAACTAAACCATGATTGGTGTTGAACTTTTCATAAGTATCTCCGAGGTAAGGTTCGATAAGAACTCTCTCGCTCGGTCGGAATGGCCGTCCAATATCTTTAAAGCAGTGATGCACGACAGGGACAACGAAATAAATTGGTTTTGATGTATTCATATATTCATTATATTTATTCGTGATATCTTGGGCAATTTTAGATGCTTGTATATCTTCTGACCAGTAACGATCCAGTTTAGAAGCATGTACACGTTCGGCGATGAACTGTTTAATAACAATTGGTTGATTGGTTGATGTGTCCTTGCCGAGATAAGCTGCTCTACAACTGCCCGAAGCTAAGTGCACACAATCAGTGATGAATCGACCGGGATAGAAATCACCATCAGGTGGCCATGCATATCGCTCGAAATTATATGAAGATTGTTTAGTTATACCATCCATCTGATCTTTCCTCCGTAAATAGCTTAGCGAGTAAAAATTCTCTTAACTCATAGAACAGAAAGAAACATTTTATGTATGTAGGAACGGGTTTTTTCCAACCTTCAAGTATGAGTCAGTTTCTATTTATACTTGTGTAATAACATACTGCATTGAAATATCATTATTACGAAGAGTTTTGTGGTATATATGCTAAGGTAAATCTGTTTTTACTTTGATCTACACACTCGCATACAGTTCCGAGGAAGTAAGGAGCATCACATTCATTGCATATGTAATCGAACTTGAAGTTGAAAGAAAAGCAACCTAAAGAATTACTTCTAAACTGCATTCAGGATTACCACAAAAGAGCTTGAATGTGCATTGTTTTCTAAACTAGGCTAGCAAAAAGTGGTCTGAGAGAAGTACTTGGATGCGAAAGTATCCGCCCTAGTTATGCGATAATTATTCTAGTTGATTATAAGTCAATCTCTGATAAAGAAAGCTATGACGATATAGGGAGCTTGGCAATATTTATTGAAAAAGAGAAGAAATTGTAGAAAAATTAAAATGTATTAAAGGTAATGTGTATATGCCGCAGTTTTAGAAAAGATCGTAGGCGGGCCACGCATTCACACTTGAGACGATGGTATCCATTGTTCCTTTCAATTGAAATGCGAAACTGTCATTCGTAGGTCTTGTGTTTACGGTGAACGCATACGACAGTCCATCATTTCTTCGAACTAGAAATGCGATTGTTCCTGACATGGCACCGTTGTGACCTCTATAAGAACTGTCTAAAATCCATCCTTTACCGTATCCAGCGTTTGCCGAAGAGCCTGTCCACATCGTAGTAATCGTGCCACTAGACAAAATGTCTGTTTTAAAACTAAATCCATCTACTTTTGCCATGATGCCTACAAGATCGATTGGTCGTGCAATCCAGCCACCATGGGCATCCATTCGCCGCATGAGAAGATTGTATGCACTACTTGGATAGTAGGTAACTTCGTTTGTTTTTTTATCAGCTAGGGTATCTCCGCCAATGAGCATCTTACTAGTTTGCGGAGCATTATTAAAAATTTGGTTGCGAAGAAAGAGCTCATAAGTTTGTGCTGAAACCTTTTCAATGATTCTTCCCAATAGAGTGTATCCGAAATTAAGGTATTCGTACGTGGTTCCCGGGACATTTTTTGGGGTTCGATTATCGAGTACCCAACTAATAAGATCTTTCTGGTTGAGATTCGTATTCATAAACATCGGATCGCCACCATCATTTGAAAATCCACTAGTATGTTCAAGAAGGTGCCGTACGGTGATATTTAAAACGCGTTGACCATAAGGTTTAGTTCCATACGTTGTTCCAAGGAGGCCGGATGCACCAAATACTTTTGAAGTGAGTGAAAATTTGCCTTGTTCGATGAGTTTCATAACAGCAATACCAGTCATAGGTTTAGAGACACTAGCAATTCGAAACAAATGATCAGGATGAACTTTTTCACCTGTTTCCTGGTCAGCATATCCGTAGCCCTTGGCAAAAACGAGTCTTTCTTGTCTAGTAATTGCAATTGATAAACCTGGAATTGGATTTTTGTTCATATACGTTTGAATTTGACTATCGATCAACGAAAGATCAGTTCCTTTCATGTTAGGATTGTCCCAGATGGCAGCGTATAGGTCAACATTATTCTTCGAATAACCACAAATAACTTTGAGACGATAACCTTGATAGTAATTGTTAGTAAACTCTCCTTGGTATGCCTTACTGCTCATCCCATGGCGAGCAATCCACGGATCACTGGCTTTCTTCTCAAAAATAGCAGCGTAGTAGTCAACACCATTGACCGTGTAGCCCGAAATAAGGACAAGAACGTATCCAGCACTGGTTTGAGTATTGAACACGGTTTGATACTGTGCGGCAGTAAGTCCATGTCTTGCAACTTGAGCAGGAGCACCAGAAACTTTTTCAAAAATAGCCGCATAGCGTGCTTGGTTGTTGATCGCATATCCACTAACATGTTTCAGTCTGTATCCTTTGCTAATCCAACTATCAACCTCGCTTTGGTATTGTCCACCAGTCATTCCATGTCTAGCCTCCAAAGGAGCAACATTTCCAGCAGGCTTTTCCCAGATAGCTACATACTTATCCAAGCCATTGGTATCAGTATATCCATTGACAAGAACTAGGCTGTAACCTTGTGCTGCGGCATCATTAAATGCTTGTTGATATTGACTACTAGTTAGTCCGTGACGGCAGATTTGCGGTGGTCCACTTGATTTTTCGAAATAGACTGCAAACTTTTCTTGACTGTAGGCAGTGTAACCAGTGATATAAAGAAGTCGATACGATTGTTGAGCAAGTTGATTGTACAATGTTTGATACGCAGATGAAGTCAAACCATGCCTCGCAACAAAAGCTGGATTGTCGGCAGCCACGGATCTATTGATCAGAACTGCTAAAATGTAGATGCAAACAGTCCACCATGAACGTTTTCTGCAAAGATTCATTTGATACAGTAATACAATGGGCTTAATATATAGTCGAGTGCTTTTTTCTTATGGCTTTTTAAGGTTCTGAGGCCTCACCATTTATACTACTCTTTGGCGATATATGCGTCTTTAAAAATGACGATTTGGTGAAATAAGTCATACTTTATAAAACGTTTTATCGCAATTAGTGACCTATTTTGATCAATTGACGTCAATCGTATGAATATATCTCTATTCTTCTTGTATGAAATGAAATAGCGCATAAGATATGAGTCAAAGCCAAAAAACCATACCTTGCTTACCGTAACGTTAATATGTTCTTTTTCACCTCTTTATCCTGTAATGTAGCGCATTTATTTATAAAATGTACTGAGTTGTAGTATGTAATAATATTTTGAAATAGAACAGTTTACGTAGATTATACTCCGCTAACAATTTCAATGATACACATTTCTACACATGCAATAAACACGTGGATATTGAATACATCTACATCGGTAACGGCCAACGAGAGAGTACTTTTAGCATTTAAATATTGCATTATTCCGACTTAATGCTGTAGAAGTGCTACGAACTCTTTGTTACTCATTCTGACATTCCCTGTACTTGTTGGACTATTACAGATATAGTCATTAATGAAGACAACTGTGTAAATTATATCTTTCGTGAGTTATATGTCGTTAGTTTATTTCGCGAAAGTACACTTCTACTTTGTGACCATCTCGAGATTGTAAAGTATATTTTTTGGCATCATTAACAATTTCGTTAGAACTAAAAATCATTACATACATGAATGCCTATAGTATTTTATTTAGTATACGGGGTTCACTTGGTTGATATTGTTTTGATATCGATGTCTTATCGCAGAACGGAATAAGTCGATAAATTCGCGACGGAACTGACGTGACGCCATTGTATATAAATAGAATGATATAGTAGGAAAAAGATATAAGATCATATCGGCCATAAAAGCCGTAAACCGTTCAATTGCTACTTGGTCGGCTGACTTATTCGTGACATGAATCATTGCAGCATTACAAAAGAATAAGAGCATGAGCGGTGTCTGAGTTATGAGAAATACGACTGCTTGAAATAAAAGCATGATAAAAGCCTGTCGATCACGTTTTCGATCTAACCGATCATATTGATTAACAGCAAGCTGATGACGGTGTTGCCGTCTCATCTCAAGATTTCGAAAGATGAGCACAGCACAAATGATCATAATTGAGACGGGAAGAATACTTCCTGCTGTTATTGTATAAAAACTGAAATACAGCGATAAACCCAAGTTATATAAAACGCCACATCGATCATCCCTCAAATCGATTAGTGCGAGAACTTGTATTGGTAAAGTCGACCAGATGATGACAATCAATACAATGACACGCTGAGCAATACGAACGGAGGCGAAATTTCTTAGTCGAACATTGGTTGAAATCAACATGCAACGATCGACACATGCAGCAGTGATACACCATCGATATATCATTGTCATAGATTGAAGTGCATAGGTGCGAAGCTTACAGAAAGCTTGATTCGTTGTATATGGATCGTCATGCCGAAGTGCATATACATACGTTCCAACACCCATGGGTAGAGCAATTAACATTGCTATCGATGACATGATGAAATCTAAGCAATAATAATATCAAGAAGAATATCTCAGAAAGATATATAAACTTACAGACACAACAAGATACTGTTTGAAAGCGCCGTCGACTAAGTAGTATGATATTGAGAGAACAACCTGTCATACCGAAAATGAGGTACGATGAAAATATATATTGAGTAAGCTGTTGTTGAGCGAAGAGTAATTTGTCATTTAGTGATGACATTTAATTAGCAATGAGGTATTTTATTAATAAAAGTGTGGTGTTCAATATGAAAGTATATCTTCTGTTGAAAGTACAGCGGCTAGAAATTATGTTGGATTTAACTTTAAATGGATTGTGTGTTTTCATGCATCGATATGCGTTTTTTTACTTTGTTCTATTCTTTTTGAAATTGCACACCAGAAAACTTCCCAGACCGTTCTTTTTCGCATGATTTATATTGCGCGTTTCTTTTACTGCTTATGCGTGATTCGACTAAAAGTTACGTGTTACACGAGATTTTCTCTTTAAATCCGCTCGTATCAACAGCACATCAATATACTTACATGAATAGCTGATTTAGACAGAAGTGAGTAGGTGGGTGCATGAGTTAATACTTGTTCCTGTAAGTAGCTCATTTATTTCTATCAATATTTCCGAAACTCACTAAATTCGTTAATATGAAAAAATTCTGATGGAAGGGTAAACATTTCAAAAAGCGAAAAGATGTGCTATAAAATAGAAAGAAATACCAAACACGATGAAATTCGATGAAACCATCGAACATTTATGACCAGTTGAATGCGTCTCACTACTTGCAGATCGTGTCGCGAAAGCAGTACATTCGATTTCTACTTTCGCGTTGGATGCTAGAGCGGTAACTGCAACAGTTGCACGTGCTGGATAGAATTCAGTTGATGAGAAAAACGCTGCATAAACTTGATTCATCACCTGATAGTCGTTTATATCGGTTAGATACACACGACATTGCAATAATTTAGTGATATCAGATCCTGCAGCATGTAATAGATCTTGTATATTATGCAGTGCCTGATGAGTTTGATTTTGAGTATCATCCGATATCAATTGACCTGTTGTATGGTTTCTTCCAAGTTGTCCACTCAGATAAAGAATCTGACCAAACTGAATAGCCGGATTGTATGGAGAAGTGGATGTAATAGGAACATTCTATAAACCGAAAGCATCAGCAAAACGGTTGATTTCTTAGTTCGATTCACTTACTGATATCGATATGATTTTCTTATGAAGATCAAGTTGATGAGATGTTTCTCCTGTTGTCGATTCTGATGATTTCTCTGCCGTTACAGTATTCAAAATTGCACCGGCGACAATAAGTAAAACGACAGGAACGAGTTTCATTCTTGAAGATTTCTATCAGGTTACACTTCTTTCTTCTCTCGTATGATTCTGATCTCTTCCTTCGATAATGTCGAAATAAAGATGATTGTGTTCTACTGTTACTCTCGTACAGAGCACGTTCGTGGCATTATAAACATCGTTTGATATTTGCTAGATACGGTACATAGAGTTTAACACATGCTCATCTCGAATGTAAAGACGCGCGTGTTATTCTACTTGCCAATAAGCAATTACTTCATGTTGAAAGTGATGCGTGAAATATGAATGAAAAAGAGATATTCATTTATTCCATCTTTCCGTCTAACAAAGACATTTGAAGATGAAAAAAATTGTTTTTTTCAATTTATTGATTTAAAATAATTATAACAACTCAGCACTATTTAGATAAATAGAGTTGCTGTCGATTCTTCCGCACATTGGCACCTGTCGTCGGATCATACAGTTCAGCGGAATTTAAGTCAGTCTTTAGATAAGATCCGCCAGTCACTAAAACCGAGCCATCTTCTAGAACAGTTGCTGTATGTAGTGCTCGTGCATAATTCATGCTGCCAGTATCTGCCCAATCTAGATAGAACAGTCAAATATGTTTGTGAGCGTAGATAGTCTTGGCGATGTTTACCTGGTAGATGATAGTCGACAGCTGGTGAAATACTTGCTGACTTTCCTTGTGTAACAACAACAATGAACGTTAATGACAGAAAGATAGCCACTACCATAAATGTTAAATGAAATTTGAATGTTTGAATTGACAATAGAAATTGAAGCTCACTGGTTTTCAGTATTGTACACTTTACTTATACTTCGAGTTAAAATCGTCTAGCAAGTAAATCTTGCACATTATATATAATGTAGCAGCATGAGACAACAGATGAGTAATATTATCTTAGACAAAGAAAAAAGATTGTCCTTCAACCTCTTACACATCGTTGTCGAGATAGGAATGAATTAGTTCTGAACCAAATGGTAATTATCTTGCACCAGTATCAACCTAAGAACTGAAATGAGGAATCTGAATCATTTTTTGCTATTGTTTTATTTCAGCAGAAAATAGAATTACAAAAGCTTGCTATCGTTGAAAATGAAAATTTCATTATCTGTTACCGATCCATAAATGTACAAGACGTGGATGAATCAATTTGAATGTAAAGTCTCGGAGAGGAGTATGCTTCGTCAACCATTGTTCAAACTCTTCATCGCTATCGTAATAATACGTGACGTTGTGAACAGTAATACTTTGAAGGTGTTTGAAATTTTCAACTAGTATTGCTAAATCCTCTTCGGTATACACACGGCAGTTGAGTAGATGTTGAAGATTAGGAAAAGCAGAGCAAAATTTAGCTCGGAATTTACTGAATACGTATTCCTGTTTCATATCTAGCCAACGGATCTGTAGATAAGTTGATTGAATTAGTTGATTTATATCATCTTTCGCGGATGAAATTGTTAAACGCGTCAGTTGTGGGGCAATACTCAAGAGTTCATTCAGTACAGATGGTGTTATTGAACATAGCTTGTCCAATTGTAGGTGCTTTAATCGAGATAAGCCATTTATGCTTTGTTTCAGTTCTGCGATGTCTGACACAATGTAATGTCTTGAAAGGTCATCCTTATTTTCTAATCGTAAAGTTTCCACATTGGGAAAGTCAGGTAACGGTTTATTCGATGTTTCGGCAATTGGCAAATGGATGGATACAATCCGCTGTTTTGAAATAGTTGCCGCGGTTTCATCATATGGTTTGATTTCAATAGTGAACGAGGAAAGATTCTCCCAAAATTCTGTTTGAAAACCTGCAAGGCGTTGTTGCAGAAGTATTTTATCAAACCAATCGGGAACATCGATTTTCAAGCAAAACACTTTCAATTTGCATAACTTCTCTTCGATCACTCTCTCCCACCAATTACCATCCGTCCATTGATCAATGTCTTTCTGAAATCGTTCAACATGAATATTCAAGTGAGTTAAGCTTTTGCATGCTTCGATAATTTTCTTGATTTCCTCACATAGACCATATGCTACTCGAATGGTCAAGTGAGTTAATGATTGAGGCGCGTCGAAGTGTGATATGCAATCATTTTCAATCGATCTTGACTTTAAGATAAGGTTAAGTCGATGGATATTTGGTGTGGAGTTGAAAATAGTCGGAAGAAGATCGATGGATCGGATGAGGACTTTGAATTGATGAAGTTGTTCAGCCACGGGTAAAACGTGGAAATTGCAATCAATGTTTAATAGTTCATTGTTTACAGTAAGCGTTTGCAAAGTGGGTATGCGAAAGATGTTGATGAGATTATTTTCGAATTGTTTCAATTGTTCATAGTCGAAAGAATAACGTGGCCAGCGTTTGAAGTCAACTGTGAGAGTGTGAAGACATTTCAATTGTGGCCAGTGCGAAAGTTTATCTGGATTGTGCAGCTGAAGATGTTCAAGTCGAGTAAAAGTTTGATCGAAGGCGGGGAAAAGTGTGAAGAAGTAATCGATTTGACCTGGTGTTTCTTCATCGTCCGAAAATGTCAACGTAAGAATTTGATCAGGACGAAGAACATGCCAGATGAAATCAAAGTCACGCTTGGATATTGATTTGAAGTTGACTTTGAACTGATCATAACTTCGAATGCATTGTCTTAGATATCGACTGAAATCATGAAATGATCGGAGAATATCACTGGCAGATAAATAAGAGAATACGTTGAAAATAATTTCCACTGGAAATTGATCAAGAAGTAATTGAGGAGCAGGCATCTTCATATAAGAATCAAGAAATTCGACAGTAACGATTAGTAGATGCACTCATCATAAATACTATGGCGAAAGCAACGCGTTCTGTTTATCAATAGCATATGCGCATGAGTCATGTGCTCACGACAATACCATACATGGAAGAAGCAGAACAAGAAAAGAAAAACTTACACGCGCTTTTTCTTTTAGCATGGTGTATTACCCAAAAGGGCTATGTAGGTTTATAGTGTGACACTAATGAGAAGTAGAGTTCGCTCGTACAGTTATATGGAATGTTTGATATCGCTTATTAGAGAAAATGATCGACTGAGTCGTGAAAGACCATTACAGTTCAAGCAGAAAGCTCGCTTATCTAGAAATCGGCAATTGATAACGTTATCTGTGTAGAATATGATCAATCGATAAATTTCTATTGGTATCGAGCCAATACACATTTGATTGATGACGGCGCGCCATCAAGCGTATTAATGCAAAACACTATGCATATAATTCACGCTCCCATTCAACAAACACTTTGTTGATTAATTTTTATCTATTCGTATGCTTAAAAAGCATTGCAAGTCCTCGACAGCCTCGATCGAAATCTAGTAAGTTTTTGTCACTAAAAATTCGAATTATGATCGAGCAAGTCCAACGACTGTATGGATATTTATGTGAGTTAATGTCAGGTCCATCGATGGATGAATTCGGGTTCTATCGTTCCTCCATCGACTTGGTATAAAAGGAGAGAATAACTTTTTCAGTTCGTGACGAAATGTTTGCGAGCCATTGTATATAACCAGAATGATGCAACAGATAGAAAGTTAATTGTGAGTTCAGCCATAAAATTAACAAACTGTTCGATCGCTGCTCGGTCGGCGGATTTATCTGTAACCTAAAATGTTGCAGTCGTGCAGAAATAGGTCAATATATAGGATGTTTGAGTTGCTATGTAAACAGCTATCTGAAGAAGAAGCATGATGATCTCGTTTCCGTTCCACAGTATTCACTTCATCACGAATGTTGTTCGCAAGTTGATGACGGCGTTCTCGTTTTGATTCGAGGGTTTCCCTGAATAAGCAGGACACAAACGAGTATGATTGAAATGGGTAGAATCTCACCTGCTATAAGTACATAGCAAGTAAAGATGAGTGCTGTATTGGCGACAGATATAACAACATACTTATTGCCTTTGACATAATACGCAGTGTGAACTGTTGCAAATTCTCTGATTCAATTATTGATTGTTGTTGACATATACCGATCAACGCACACCACTGTCAGGTACCACTGGTACATCATCGTCAACGTCTAAAGTACGTAAATGTGAACTTTGCAAAAGCTAACATTTGTTGTTGTTGGGTTGGACTAAGAGGACTTAGTACAAGTATGAGAAAATATCGAATCGCAAGTAGATTGCCATTGCTAGCGATACACCAGTGAAATCTAAATTACAGCAAAACGTATGTGTAATGAGGTCAATTCTAAGTGTGAACTTACACTTGCAGCAAGATACTGTACGAAACTGTCGTCGGTTTAGAAGTATAAAGTTCAGAACGCAAGCAGGGTTTTGGGATACTCGGATAGAACAGTTTCATTGGTCGGCAATCCTCGAAGAGTCGAAGCAGCCAAGTTTTGCCAAACATCCGTTCGTAACGGTAATCGGTCAGTTAACAGAGTCGCTCGACTTACACTGGAAACCGAAGCTCCACTATGATAATACGTTAAACGAAGACTTATCGAGGCTAAGTGATAAAGAAATGGTGTATCACGTGTATTGGGCCAATTCGTCCCTAGATTACTCCAGCTCGTATCGTCATCGATGATTAAAATAACATTGGGACCTGAATCAGCTAACCATTTCGATAGTGTAAAAGTTTCTAATATGAAACGACGTAGTATACTAAGAATAACTACAAGAAAGTAAAAGGAAAATTTTGTTGTGTTGAAAAGAGAACCATCATTATTTTTTTCGTTTGCTCGACTTATGAATATTATCAATGACAACCGCTTGGATTATTATCTTCATTTATATTACAAACAGAAAGAATAAATTTGTTCTTCTTTGCATACGAGTCACATGCTCTTAATAATAATAAGTATCTATTACTTCTACAAAATTGCATCAAAGACTCGAAACGTACATACTGTAAAGCCAAAAAAGTGCATAACACTTCTCCTATAATTGTTTGAGTGTTTGGAAAAATGAGTTTTTCTTTGAAATTACACTATAAAAAACGCCAACCACCCTTCAGCAACTCTCACTAAAAAAACGGAGCTGCACATAAGTCGGACACTTGAGAAAAAAATGAGTTTTTTCTTTTCACCATTACGTTTTAATGAAATGTGTATAGAAGCATAGAGAAAACGAGTATTTCCGACATGTAAATAGAAATACATTTCATTTCATTTTTGTTTAAGTAATGTTAAGACAGATTCTTAAACTGTGGAGAAAGCTAAAATATGTTATTCAACATTTTAATCTTTTCCCGTCGATTCCACCTTCTACCGATCAGCATCAACTTCGAAATCAATTCATTTCAACAAGATTATTCATCTTTCTCTTCAGTTCTTTCTTCTCCATTCTTCTCTTGTACAACTCTCTCATAACCATTCGTAAAACAGTTATTGTCAAATCGCCATCGTTCACCGACTACGTCCAATTGAATGCTACGTATTCTCAAACACTAACATGTCCATGTACCCAAATCTCGATTGACTACAAAAACATAGTTCGTGTGAACTACACACTACATCAAGTTTGTTCGAGTGTTTTTATAACTCAGAACTGGATAAATAGCATCCACACTGAGAATACAAATAGCTCTGTGAGTCTTTTCTACTTCGATTTTCGAAGCATCGGTACATATGCATTTCAAGCTTTGAAAAGTATCTGTGAGCTGCTAGATGAAACGATCATCGGGGATATAAATGTATTTTATTTAAATCAATTTATTAGTACATCCGTCATACCATATAATGCGCTTGAATTACAAATTCAAGATTTAATCAATCGATTGCATTCGTCAATCGTTCGTGGCTTCTGGTCGTCCTTATCTATGATTCGAGAAACAACACAAGGCAATGCTTTGTATTCAACCGGAACGATGGCGTATATCTTCCGCTTGGATACTCGCTCTAGATACTTGTACATGACTTTGCGCGTATATGATAATTGTAGCTGTGCGTCGTCGGCAACATGTGTGCGAGAGTCGATTATTTACAATGCTGAAAATGGTTCTATATCGTTCAGAGTGCCGAAGTTTTACATTGGATGTTCTACGGTTGAGGCACTACTGCAATCAACCCTTCAATGCTTCTATGATCGAAACTGCATCGATTCCATTCAAGCTCATTTATTCCCAGTCGTTCCTGTTACACCCTTAGATCCATCCATCTCAAGTAACTACCTTGCGAACTCAACTGTCGATGAACTTTTGCAGCGTTTAATGATCGAGCAATGGGATGTTTCTCTTATGTATGAAAACTATTACGAACAATGCAAGCCTGTCGAATGTAGCCACATTTCTGAAACACGAAATGATGCAGTTTTTGTCGTGACAACGCTGATTGGATTACTTGGCGGTTTAGTCACAGCTCTAAAAGTAGTGGTACCATTGTTGGTGAATTTCATTCGAAGAAAAAAGGAAGAAGACAGACCAGCCGTTGGTAAGAGAAAATGAGAGAATTTTAGGTTCCATGTGCTATCTTGAAAGTAGAGCTACCGCGTAGGACCGATGGTCTTTTCGTGGATATCCTGAGCCAGTAGTGTTTTGTTTTCTTATTTTAGTGTTAAGCATTCATGAACGGATAGCTATCTTGCGGACAACAATGAAATACTACATACATAATTTCAATCTTTTCCCGTCGATTCCACCTTCTACCGATCAGCATCAACTTCGAAATCAATTCATTTCAACAAGATTATTCATCTTTCTCTTCAGTTCTTTCTTCTCCATTCTTCTCTTGTACAACTCTCTCATAACCATTCGTAAAACAGTTATTGTCAAATCGCCATCGTTCACCGACTACGTCCAATTGAATGCTACGTATTCTCAAACACTAACATGTCCATGTACCCAAATCTCGATTGACTACAAAAACATAGTTCGTGTGAACTACACACTACATCAAGTTTGTTCGAGTGTTTTTATAACTCAGAACTGGATTGATTACATTGAATTGTCCGGTTCCAGCATAGACGTTTACTACGATGATTTCCGAGCTACAGCTCCATACATGTTTCAAGTTTTAAATAATTTCTGCAAATTGCCGGATGAAACAATCTCCCAAAGCTTGACTGAGTTTTATTCCAATCAATACGTGGATACATATCTCACATCATTCAGCGTATTTCCCTTGAAAGTGAAAGCATCAGTCGAGCAATTTCAATCATCGATGATCAATAGATTTTTGCTATCGTTTTTCATCATTCGCCAAACAACTCAAAGTAACAGTTTATTCTCTGCGCGCATGACTAACTACGTATTTAGAATACTGCGTGGAAGTACAACTACAGACTCAGCTGCTTTAGAGTACGATGGATGCTCGTGTGCTACATCGGGGACATGTGCCGAACAATCATGTTTTTACAATTATCCGTACGCGTCGCCCGTATTCGCTCTACCAGGAATATATACAGGATGTTATGCAGTTGAAGCTTTACTACAATCAACACTCGAATGTTTCTATGACAAAAACTGCACGGACTCTATTCAGTCTTACTTATCATATCCTGCACCGTTTCTAATCGCTAATCTAAATTCATCTTTAGCAAGTAACTATCGTGTCAACTCAACCGTCGATGAACTCTTACAGCACTTGATGATCGAACAATGGAATGTTTCTGTCACGTATGAGAACTATTATCAAGAATGCAAACCAGCGCAGTGTAGTTACAGTTATGAAGCACGGAACGATGCGATTTATATACTGACAACACTGATCAGTCTCGTTGGTGGTTTAAGTACGACTCTGAAACTTCTGACACCACAATTGATAAATTTTGTTCGAAAGAAAAAAGAGTCAGAAAGACCGGTTATTGGTAAGTAATGAGTTCAAGTAAACTCCGAACCTTTCAAGAGACGTATTCTCGTATTTTATAGTGCTAAGTATGCGCGAACGAACTATTGCCTTGTGGACAACAATGAAATACTACATACATAATTTCAATGTTTTCCCGTCGATTCCACCTTCTACCGATCAGCATCAACTTCGAAATCAATTCATTTCGACAAGATTATTCATCTTTCTCTTCAGTTCTTTCTTCTCCATTCTTCTCTTGTACAACTCTCTCATAACCATTCGCAAAACAGTTATTGCCAAATCACCATCGTTCGCTGACTACGTCCAATTGAATGCTACGTATTCTCAAACACTAACATGTCCATGTACCCAAATCTCGATTGACTACAAAAACATAGTTCATGTGAACTACACACTACATCAAGTTTGTTCGAGCGTTTTTATAACTCAGAACTGGATTGATTACGTTTATAACAGTCGTAAAGATTATCTATCGACTGATGATTTCATGGTCGAAGCACCGAACGTGTTTTTTATGTTAGACAAAGTCTGTGAGATAGTCAATTTAACTCTATCCAATCGATTCAATGTATTTTATGCGAGTCCATACACAAGTGGATCCATAACATCGTATTATTTACTTCAATCAGACGCACAAGCAGCAATTGAACAACTGAAGCTGTTCACAATCAGTAACTTGGTGTCATCTTTGTCGTTGATTCGGCAAATGATTCACGGTAATTCTATCGTAACCGGAATTTTATCGAATTACAATTTTCAGATCAATACCGACACTAATATTGAAGTTGGACCAAAAATATATGATCAATGTGATTGCTCTCTTTCGCCGTTGTGCACTGAGCGGGCATACATTTATGATGTACAGACATATGAAATATTATTTGAAGTGCCAGGTTTTTTATTTGGTTGTTATATTGTGGAAGCTTTACTACAATCAACACTCGAATGTTTCTATGACAAAAACTGCACGGATTCTATTCAGTCTTACTTATCATATCCTGCACCGTTTCCAATCGCTAATCTCAATTCATCTTTAGCAAGTAAGTATCGTGTCAACTCAACCGTCGATGAACTCTTACAGCACTTGATGATCGAACAATGGAATGTTTCTGTCACGTATGAGAACTATTATCAAGAATGCAAACCAGCGCAGTGTAGTTACAGTT